TGACATGCAAACATATACCTCAGTCATTACAGCCAATGCAATGGAATATTTTTGTTGTCTATCTCTAGATCTGCACTCTCACCTGGATTTGGGGGTGGGGTACAGTCAGCCCTACCCAATCCTATAGACTAAAGTTGTTCTCCAAAGTGTTGCCCCTGGAGAAAGAGGAATGGACGTTGGCTCATCAATAAGTGATCTCAGCCCTGAAGCTCATTGACCTAAAGCCCATCTTCTTTATTGCTTTCTCATTTGAGGCCTTACAATTCCAATCCTCTTCTCTGGTCCAAGGAATAGCCATTTAGATAAAGGAAGATGTTTCTCATATCACTCTAGAGCCCTCCTATGTCAAGGCCAAAGCGATCCTTCTCTTAGGATAAGCCTGGAAGCCCTTTATTTTCCTTATGGTTCTCATCCAAACATGGTTGGGTTTATTTGTATCTGTTTGAGGGTGACACTAAGAATATTTGGTAAGTACATAGCCTCTTTCCTTCTGAAAAAAAGAAAAGAGACTATGTACCCCACCCAAGATGTAGATGAAGAATCATCGGTCAGCAGATGAAGGGATGCTCAGAAAATCACCAGACTGTACCTTTCATCTGATTAACCTACTTTCTCCTGATTCCCGAATCCTTTACCTATACTTCTCTTCTCCTTATAAGAAGGGTTGGCTTGTGATGTAAGATGACAACATTTTAAGGCACATAACCTGCATTGTTCTCAATCATCAGCCCTCTAAATAAAGTGCCAATAAAGATTCAATCCTTGTCTCTACTTAGTGGTTTCAATGGTGACCGGTAGCACTAAGGCTGACTTTTCCAGTTTCAGCTTCTTTAGTACAACATCCAAAAATTATATATATATATATATATATATATATATATATATATATATATATATATATATATATATATTGAGGCGGGACATCTTACGGCTTAGAAACATAGCAAAATTGGAGCCAGAGAAAAGGAAATACTCCTCAGACTGATGAGCAGGGCAGAATTTTCGCTCTGAGTCTGGCTATTGAGCAGAACAGAAACAAGGGAGCAGGAAGAGAGTAGGAGGTGAAGGGGGCACCGCTAGTCAGACCAGCAAATTGAGAAATACCATTATTTCGATCACCTATCTGACCCTTTCATGTATCCAGCCCATCTTCTTTCTTTTTCTTTCCAGCCCATTTTCTTTTGAAACCCAAGGCAGAAGCAAAATGATTTGCATAATGGCCCTCCGGGGAAGAGTCTAGGTGACTGTGGTCTTTCTCTGACAATCAAAGGTAAGGCAGAAATCAGACGGGCTTCCTGAAGTCCTAGGTGCCCAAGGCTAACCACAGCTCATCCCACGCCATCTTGGCTTAGCTGCATCAACATAAAAGGTCTGTGGATTGTGTTTTGGGCCAGGGGACTTACCCAGCACAGACATATTGTGTACAGTATGGAAATCTCCCCACCCTCACATCCTGCCTAGCTCACAGTGCCCTCTCAGGGGGCATATTCATTGAAAAGGCTATTTATAGCTGTCTGCTTGCCTTGTTTTTCAAAACAATAGATGGGGGAACAAAAAGGATGAACTTGGAACCTCTTCCCATGATAAATAGGTAGACTTAGACCATTGATAATCTTGCATGCCTACATATATTCAGTACATCCTATCCAGTGTTTTGTGTGTTCACTTGTTGCATCTCTTTTATCTTGGGCCAATTTAAAATGCACATAAAACTAGGGGGAGGCAATGGTAAGATACGTACACATATAAAAACCTTAATTTAAAAAAAGAGAGAAAAATAAATAAATAAATAAATAAATAAATAAATAAATAAAATGCGCATAAAACTATTCTCAGAATTGTGGATTTGGCAGTTTTCCTTCTTACAAAAAACAACTATTGGTTATGAATGTTATTAGGCCCACCATTCATTCAACTTATTCTGTATTCCTCTAGCATGTATTTTACTTCCTGTTTTGTCCTGTTTCTTCACTGTATTCTCCTATGGATTATAAACTCTTTGAATAGAGGATCATGGCTTATACATGCTTCCCTATATTCCTCCATAGGAAAAAATAACTCAAAATTATAAATTAAAAAATTGTAAAGCAGGCAACATGCACTTCCAATGTCATATCAAATCTTGTTTCATATGCCTGCCCAAGGATTATTTAATTATACAGGAAAAGAAAGTAAGACAATGAGATTGGATCAATAAATCAAGAGTGAAGCGTTCTTATCTATTATTTTTAACAGCTTTATTGAGATACATTTCACATACCATAAACTCTATCCATTAGAAGTATGCAGGTCTGTGGCTTTTAGTATGTTCACAGAGTTGTGTACCTATCACAATGTAATTTTAGAACATTTCCAGCACCCCAAGAAAGCTAATATTGATCCAAGTCTCAGATTCTGTGAACTTAATTTATAAACTTTAGAAGAAAAGATAACCCCAAAGGTTATCCTTTTATTGCCTTGTAGACATTTAACCATTTAAAAAAAATCTAGTCTGGCAATGTTAGCCCATCATCCTTTCTCCAATGCCAAAGCATATTCCTAATTCCCTTTTGAACCATCTTTATCATCCTGCTGGCTCTCTTGTTGATAAATTAATTAAATCTTTGATATGTTTTCATTCTGTATTTGTATAAGAGTCATGTTTATAAGTATTTGAAATTTATATTTGACAACCTGAATACTCTCAGCACAGTGATGGCACTTAGTAGGCAATCAATAAATACATCTTGGTAAATTAATCTCCATTTTTTTTGTAAGGATGTGTTAGAGTTTTAAACTTTGGAAGAAGAGAATACATTTTTGAAAGGTCTTAAAGAAAAAAATTAGCAGGCCAGACGGCAATGGCAAGAAATATTCAAGGTGATGAATAACAAGAACCTACAGCCAAAAATACTCTACCCAGCAAAGCTATCACTCAGAATTGAAGGCCAGATAAAGAGCTTCACTAATTTAAAAAAAAGCTAAAGGAGTTCATCACTGCCAAACCAGAATTATATAAATTGCTTAAGGAGGTTCTTTAGGAAGAGGAAGAAAATAAAGATAAAAATTATGAACAACAAATATGTAACTATCAATAAGTGAATCTAAAAACGAAAGGAATTAAAAAAACTGATGAACAATATTAACTGTTGAATATAATAGAATCAGAGGTATGGAAGGGAAGTGGACTAACGATTCTCGGGGAAAAGAGGAGTGGGGGGTGCGGGAAGAGACTGAACATAAGCTGTGCACCCATGGATGAGGACAATGGGGGGTGGAGAAAGGGCAGAGGGTGGGGTGGGAACCTGGTGGAGGGGAGCAATGGAGGGGGGAAAAATGAGGAACATTTGTAATAATATGAACAATAAAGATTTATTTTAAAAAAATCAGTATTATATAGAAATCGCTCACTTCTTATTTTTAAACCTAATAGTGTTAACTTTGAGTGATTATCTCCTTATCATAGAATATAAGTACTTTGTTCTATTTTTTTAAAGTCTTTTAACATCTTCAGATAATGCATTTTAGTGCTTTAGAGGTGGAGACTATCTTTGCATTTCCATTTTCTGACCTGTCCTGAAAATAATACTCACTCAGTACGTTTTGTTGAATAAACAAATGTAAAAATAAATCTCAATGGACACAAGCAAGTTCATATTTATTGAGAAGTTGCAACATGCCAGGTACTGCAGTAGGCTCTAGGGATATAAAAAGAACAGTTGGGGGTTGAAGTTTATTTCAAGACCTTTTCAGAGCAGTCACTGAGTTTGGGGGATGTATTTCATCTCAGAGGTAGTTTCTCACTGAAGGAGGGGAAATTTGGATTTATTACCCTGTGCAAAAAAATACATCTTTGCCATAATTTCTCTGAAGAGCTTTTCACAGAAACCAAACATCCGTGGTTTATCAGGTAGACATCAAGAGCGAAACAACAGGCATACCAGTTTGGGAAATCTTATGGTGATTCAAGACCTCTATGAATTCCTGTGGTTCCCAGTAAGTCCCCACGCATATGGCTAACTGCAAACAGTTCTATATTTAGAGAAAAGTGAGACCCTAAATGGTGAGCCAGGCAGCTGGAGGCAGAGAAAAATCCCTGATCTGAGTCCCCAGACCTTGGGTAGAAGCCAATTCTGCATTCTGACCTGTGCGAGACAATTCTGAGCCTCGATCCCCAACCATAAAAGTATGGTTTTAAAAATTTGCCTCCCAGTAAAACATCAAACAGACTGTCAAATTGCAGCGGGAAGGTTAGGGAAATGTGGGGAAGGTAAGAGATCAACCGAAGTACTTGTATGCATGCATATAAGCATAACCAATGGACGCAAGACACTGGGGAAGGGGGGGAGGGGATGTATGGGAGTGGGTGGAGGGGCGATAATAAGATATGTACACATATAATACCTTAATTAAAAAATGGGGGGGGGGGAGATTATCTCCTTCAAATGAGGAAATGGGTGAGGAAGTCTCCACACCCTGGGAACCACTGTACGAATGGGACTCTAATTCTGATATGTAGCAGAAGCCCCTTTGGCCCATACATTCAACAACTTCCTTCGACTCCCGAGTGCCTGCCTGCACTGTGCTACTCACTGGGCACAGGGAGAACCACGTCGCCAGCACACAACCCACTTCCAGGAGTTTATCCCCAAGCAGTTTTTCAGCAAAAGCAACAAACATATTTGCAGGAAGATTATCATTGCAGGGATATCTGTAACCACAACAACAATAAAACTGGAAACAACCTGGATATTTACCAAAGCAGGGTGGTTTCATCAATTACACATCCCGGCATTTTGATTAGAAAGTACATCTAGCCTACCCAGACCCACACCCTGGCAGGGTCAGCCTGTCACCCTTGGAGATGGTGGTTTGTTGTTGTTGTTGTTTGAGGGGGGGAGGCTGGTGACCTTGCCCCAAGGGGGTGGCTGCTTGAAGGCTGGACAAAGGGGTGTGTAATAGCGACAGGTCACAAAGGACTGCCAGGGTAAGTGCAGGGGTGTAAGGAGCTGTCCGCAGAACCCTGCAGGGAGATGGGCAGTGGACTTCACTCCCACTCTCTTGGAGACTCGATTTATGGCTGTCTTCAATTCAGAGAACCATGAGCAGTGAATGCTTGCTACCTTACTACACAGCCCACAGCTACCGTTCAAAGGGCGTGTTCAATACCTCCATGGGGGACCTGCAACGACAACTGTACAAGGGAGGGGAGTATGATATTTTCAAGTACGCGCCCATGTTTGAGAGTGACTTTATCCAGATTAGCAAAAAGGGAGAGATGATTGACGTGCACAACCGCGTCCGAATGGTGACGGTGGGCATCGCGTCCACCAGCCCCATCCTCCCGCTGCCCGACGTCATGCTGCTGGCCCGGCCAACCAAAGTCTGCGAAGAGCACACCAAACGCGTCCGGTCCGCCAAGGGGAGAGGCCGCAAGCCCGCCAAGACCCTGGAGCTCACCCGGCTACTGCCTTTGAAGTTTGTCAAGATCTCCATCCACGATCGAGAGAAGCAGCAGCTGCGCCTGAAGCTTGCCACGGGTCGCACTTTCTATCTGCAGCTGTGTCCCTCTGCAGACGGGCAGGAAGACCTGTTTGGCTACTGGGAAAAACTTGTCTATCTCCTGAGGCCACCCGTGGAGAGCAGCAGCAGTACCCGGATACCACAGAGCGGGGATGCAGCGACCATAGAGGATGACAGCAGCCTATTGGTAAGCATCTGCCGAGACTCAAGATAATGGACCGGGGTGCTTTGGGGGAGCAGCTCAACACTGGTCCTACAAAGCCGCCGGTGCTCTCTGAAGCTCACTGGGGAAGTGCATCCCATTTCCAAAAGGTTCTGGGCCACCACCATGGCACTAAGCACACTGAGGAGATTCCAAGCGCTTCTCTGCGTTGTGCCACAAAGCCTGGGTTCAGAGAGACCTTAGGTATCAGCTGCTCGGGTCTCAGACGCAGGGTTGCAATCCCTTCTGTAGCCTCCAGATTGTGCTAGCCCTTCCTGAACACTTCCCCCAGCCCAGTCAGTCTCTTCTTTCCTCCGTTCCCCCTGTGACTGCCATTGCTGATTCAAGTCAGCACCACCCGCTTGGGTGCCTGCACATGTACAGTTTCTTTTAGCAGCCACTGAAATGTAAAATGTGTGACCCCTGGACCCAGCAATCCCATGTGTAAGATCTGTCTGCAGAGAGATAAGCACACATGTGCAAAAACAAACAAAAACCCCAACTGGGAGGACTGGGAATTACATCAGTGCTTCCCTTGGCGTGGGGACTGCTCACGCAAAACCAAGTTTGACAGGGATGCTGTGAATGGGAGGCTGCAGCCCAGGGGAGCTGAGACGTAAGGATCTCCAAGGTGCTTCTCCTTAGAAAAGCCCTGGAGATGCTGGGCTCCAGGGCGAGAGAGAGCGAGAGAGCAGACTGCCGTGGTCTCACTTTGTCATCTCTGCCCCCCCCCCCCCCCCCCGGTTTCTCCTCCCCTTGGCACAGACCGCAGAGTTCCGTGGAGATGGAGATCAGAACGAGGCGAGGTTTTACAATCTTTGTGATGTGTCCAGAGCCACTTCTTCCGGTTATGCTGGGGGAGAGGGAATGCCTGCTTCAACTCAGGCCAAGAAGACTCCGGGGACTGCCGAAGGAGTCTCAAAGGGGGCAAGCGCAGGCCTGGCAGTAGCAGGAACGAGCCCTAGAGCAAGCGTGGCAGCTGCGGGGGTGATAACAATCCCTGCAGCCAACACGGCAGCAGCAGGAGCGGGAACAAGCCCTAGAGCAAGCATGGCAGCAGCGGGAGTGGGATCAAGTCCTAAAGCCAGCAGGGCAGCAGCAGGAGCCAGAGCAAGTCCCACAGCAGGTGCTTTGAGCATAGCAGCATCCCAGAATGCGGGCACAGGCCACATGGACGTGGCCGTGGCTGGAGCCATCACCAAGGGTCCGGGAGAAAGTGGATCCAGCAAGGCCGCGGCAGGTGCCACCAACATATCCTCAGAGGGCACGAACGTGGCCTTGGCGGGTGCTGCCAGCTCGTCTTCATTAACAACTTCCATGGCAATGGCAGGGGCTACCAATGTCTCCCCAGCCAGCAGCACCAGCGTCACGTGCATAGTGACAACCACCAGTCCGGATGCAGAAAGAGCTGGAGGCCACGTCTCAACCTTGAAGGGTCAACGGGAAAGGAGCCCGAAGGCCTCCCAACCCAGAGCTGAATCTCGGAGGGGGAAAAAAGAAAAGAGGGAAAAGAAGGACAGACACCCTTCCACAAGGAAAAGTTCCCATCACCACAGGACAGGAGGGAACAAGTTGGTCCGGAAATCCTCGTCCCACCGGTCAACCTCTGGCCATAAAAACACAAGAGAGGACAAGAAAGAAAAGGGGGCGAGCAACATCAAGGGCAGGAGACACGGCACTCACAAGAGTTCCAGCCGCAGCTCCGCTGTGAAGGAGTCCAGGGCACCTCACAAGCTGGGGAAGAGCAGGTCTGCCAGCTCCGGTACTTTAAGTAAGAAATCCAGCAAGATCGGCTCTTTCTTCAAGAGCTTCCGAGTCACTCGTGGTTCAAAAACCGAGGTCTCGTCGCACGACAGGGAGATGGACTTCAAGGCCAAGAAGGTAGGGAAGCGCAACATCGAGGCCAAGGTAGAGAAGGCCCCGGGAGGCCGGGATCTGGAGATCACTGGCACCGTGACATCGGAGGTGTTGGAGACGATCTACATTGAGACCAAATCCAATTAGACAGGAGCCAGGCGGGCAGGAAGCTGCAGCGGAGACTTAGCCTCGCGAAAGTATCCCCAGAGAGACAGTGCCAGCGTTCTTTAATAAAGGAAACAATACACCTCCAAAAGAAATGCTGCTTTTGTTGGGCTTCCAATGTCCCCTCTCCTGGTGGTGACTTCACAGTGGTGTCTGTGATGTAAACTGTGCTAAGGCCTGAGACTCCAGCCTCTGGTCAGGCAGAACCCCACCTCTCACCCAAGTCCAACATGAGTGTCCTGTCTGGTCTCCTCCCCCTTTTGTCTTTTGGTTTCCCCAAGACAATGGCCACCAGTGACAGGTGCCGGGCAGGGAAGGACCACCACCACCAAGTCTCCATGCCCTTCCTCCTCTTCTCCCAGAAGGTCCCTGAACATATCCCTTCAGTCCATCCCACAGGCTCAGTGAAGACAGGACTCGTGTCTCCTCAAGAAATCAGTAGGGAGGAAACAAAGGATGTAGGCAGTCACAATAGTCAAGTGTATCATCCGAGTCAGGAATTGGTATCCTGAGGGCCAAATCTTGCCAAGTGCCCAGTTTTGTAAATAAAGTTTTTATTGGAACGTAGTTACAGCCGCTCACTTATATATTGTTTATGGCTGCTTTCACATTGAAGCAACAGATCTGAGCTGTTGCAACAGAGACTGTATTGTGTGCAAAGTCTATTATGTTTACTATCTACAGTAGCACTTTCCAGGAAAGGGTTTCCCACCATGGATTTAATCGAAACAATTCTCCTTTCTCTTGAGTATATACTGTGGAGAAACCCTCACAGAAGCTTGCTAGGGGACAACTGGAAGATTTTTTTAATAAAAAATTTTATAATAGCAAACCCCCAAATGTTTATCAAACAGAAGAACTGATCAATTGTGGAATATGCCTACAGTGCACATAATACAACAGCAAAAGTAAACAGCAGCTATACATGTTCGCATGGATGAACCTCATAGAAAGTTGAATAATAAAAACTAGTCAGAAAAATGAATTTAATATAGTTCCACTTGCAGAAAAGTTCAGAAACAAGATCAAGTAATATGTATTTACTAAAGGTATAGAAGAAGGCAAGGAAATGATAAACACATAATTCAGAATAGTGGATATCTATTTATAGGGTGAGAAGGAGAAGGGATAATCTGAGAGATACATACAAAGAGCTTAAAGGGAGTGGGGATGGTTCTATTAAGCAAAGGACGTGTCAACGGTAAGTTATTGTTGTACCTTTTAATTTTTATTTTATCATCTCTGAAATCAGCATGGTTTTAAACTGCTGTCAGCCAGGTGGCAGTCAAAGCTTTGAAAATACCAACCAACTTATTTTACTTATGTTTTCCTTTGGGCAAGAGAGGTAGATGACAAAATACCTAAGTATGAAAGATATCTTTCAATAAGTAGAAAAGGAAAAATTGTAAGTGACAGAAATATTCAGAATCCAGGAACATGGGAAATAGATATATGTAGAAGAATCCATAATGTAGTTTACTAATGAACCCTGTAAATTATGTGTGCATGGGAAAGGAATTTCTAAAAATAAAAAATACATACCATACATTAGAAATGAGGTGATGAATTTTTAAAAAGTCTACTTTAAAAAAGAAATTACATTGTCTTCTCAATTTAAACAAGTTGTAAATAAATTACATGAGTCTATAAAAATCATTAGGTTGTATTAACAATAGACTAGAGGCCCGTTGCATGAAATTCATGCATGGGGTGGGGGAGTCCCTCAGCCCAGCCTGCATCCTCTCCAATCTGGGACCCCCTGAGGGATGTCTGATTGCCTGTTAAGGCCCGATCCCATCACTCCCAACTGTCCTCCTCTGCTGACCTGATCACTCACAACTGCCCTCCCTTGTGATCCTGGTAGGATCTGGCCTAAACAGGCCATCAGACATTCCTCCTACAATCCAGGACTGTTGGCTCCCAACAGCTCGCCTGCTTGCCTTCCTGATTGCCCCTAACTGCTTCTACCTGCCATCCTGATCACCCTTTAACCACTTCCCTACCAGCCTGATTGATGCCTAGCGCTGCTGCTTTGCCATCCTGTTTGCCCCTAACTACCCTTCACTGCAAGCCTGGTCACCCCTAACTGCCCTCCCCTGCAGGACTGGTCCCCTCCAACTGCTCTTCCCTGCAGACCTTCCCCCCGCCCCCAACTGCCTTTCCCTGCAGGCCTCTCACCCCCAACTTTCTTCCTCTGCTGGCCTGGTCACCCCTAATTACCCTCCCCTGCAGGCCTGGTCTTTCCCAACTACCCTCCCCTACTGGCCATCTTGTGGTGGCCATCTTGTGTCCACATGGGGGCATTCATCTTTGACCACATGGGGGCAGCCATCTTGTGTGTTGGAGTGATGATCAATTTGCATATTATTCTTTTATTAGATAGGATTAGATAGGATAGAGGCCTGGTACGTGGGTAGGGACTAGCTGGTTTGCCCTGAAGGGTGTCCTGGATCAGAGTGGGGGTTCCCTTGGGGCATGGGATGGCCTGGATGAGGGGCCTGTGATGAATTGCAGACTGGCCATCCCCCACCCCCACCCCCCAGGCGACCCAAGCCGAAGCCCTGGTATCTGGAATTTATTTATCTTCTATAATTGATACTTTGTAGCCTTGAGCAGAGGTCAAGGCAGGCTAGTGCTGTGGAAACTTGGCTTCCTTCATTGCTGAGGAAACCCAAGCCTCTTGCTCTCTCTATGGCCGTTGGTTGGGTTAATTTGCACATTCACTCCTAATTGGTTGGCAGGCATGGCTTGTGGGCGTAGCAGATGTATGGTCAGTTTGCATATTACTATTTTATTAGATAGACTGAGTAAAATTGAACTTGAGAAAAATTATTCTGAGAACCATGTGTGTCTGTGTTGAGCCTGGGAGTCATCTGCCCAGCCTTGCAATTCTTTCCTCTTTCTCTGTGACAGTGGCATCTGCTAAGGCAGAAGTTGGGTTTCTAGTAAAGATTAAGGACTTCTGGAGATCGAACAAGTGTGGCAGAGATGGAGGAGGTAAGAAACCAGGTATTCTGGGAGGAGTGGTGGCTTAGGAATATCAATGGAAGCCCTGCACAATTGCTCTGATGGGCTCAAATCAGAAAATCCCATCAGATTTGTGATTTCTGATATACAGGGACCAATAGATGCTGGGGATCAAGGTGTCCTTGGAGGAGACTTTTGAAACAATGAATACTGATAGAAGTAGAGAAAGAGGCATGTTCTCAAAGACCTGAGAGGGACTTTGGGGAAGCTGCCTGGGAATGTAAGAGGTTATGGGGTAGAGGAGAGGGAAAAGGTGAACTCTTTTCAAAGCCATCAAATGTATGCTATGCTGTTACAAATGGCTTAATCTCATGATTTGTAGACCATGGCTTTATCTCTTTTCCATCTCTTGTTTTATGCACCCCCACTGCCACACCCCCAAACATTGTTTTATCAAACCTAGTTTGTCCACTATGTATGGTGTTAGCTGAGCAGACACAATTTACACAATTTACACAATTGCCACAGAAGTAAAGTGGAGGTGGGGACTTTACCAGGCACATTCTCTGTATTTCCTTTTCTACCTCCACAGTTCATCAAGAAACAGATGCGCAAATAACTACATATTTCAAAGCAACAGTCCTCTTTCCCTGGGGGAGATATCAATTCAGGCATAAAGTCAATGCACCCCATCAGATAAAGGCCAATATTTTTGACAGGTGTGTGCTTCGGCAGCACATATACTAAATCTGGAATGATACAGAGAAGATTAGCATGGCCCCTCTGCAAGGATGACATGCAAATTCATGAAGCATTCCATATTTTTAAAATAAAATATATATTTGGCAATAATGTGCATCATCATGGTAGCAATTCTGCTGAAGCAAGTGTAATGAGGAGATGGATGGCTGATTACTAACCAGTGTCCAGAATTTAAACTCTAGCATTCACACCTACATACATACAGAAGATGAGAAAGGGATCTTTTGCCAACAGCAAAATAAGATAATTCATGGAGCTGCTGTGATCAGGTGGAGTATTTCTGACAGAAGAAAGATGTACTGTTGTGGAAAGAAGCATGGTGCCTCAAGATATTGAAGGCAGTGTCAGGGTTGGAGGGCAAGAATGATGTGAGAAATGCTGGAGAACACCTGCAGGGGGCAGGGCAGGTAAAGCTTTGAGGTCCATGTAAAGAATGTTGATGTCTGTCCTTGAGTAATGAAAAACCACTGAAATGTTGTAAATAGGGGCATGACTTGGTCAAATCTGCACTTTGTAAAGGACACCATGGTCACTGTAAAGAGAAATATTTGGGGATGGGGTTGTTAATATGTGACTATGTTACTTCCTAAACCTTTGCCACAGGATCCATAAAATGAGGAGATTGGAGGGGATGTTTTGAAAGACGCCTTTCCATTTGAAATATCCATGTTGGGTGGACATTCCTTCAATGAAGGACTTGTGGCCCAGGCTGCTGGGAGTGTGTTTGGACATTGCTTTGGCTTCAGACAAATCCCTCACCCAAGGTAATTAGTCTCTGGGGCACGCAATGACTAATTGATGTGGAGTGTGAAGATCTGGCCGTCTTAGCCCAACACAGACCAACTCTCAAGGGCCATTTGACTTTGAGAGCTCTATGTGAGGCCTGCCTCACAGCTCGACTTCTTTTGTGTACTCCTGCTTTCTCCCCTTCCCTTCCACAGGTGCTGGTCCTAAGGGCACTCTTTAATAAACATCCTTTGGAATATTACTTGGCCATGAAAAGGAATATTACCATTTGAAATGGCATGGGGTGAACCTAAAGAATATTATGCTAAGTGAAATAAGTCAGTCAGAGAAAGAGAAATACCATATAATTTCACTTACATGTGGAATCTAAACAACAAAATGAATGAACAAATAAAATCGAAACAAACTCATAGATACAGAAAACATACTGATGGTTGCCAGAGGGGAGTAAGTTAAAAGGGGACTGGGTGAAAAAGGTGAAGAGATTAAGAAGTACAAATTGGTAGTTACAAAATAGTCACAGGGATGTAAAGTACAGCATAAGGAATAATCCAATCAATAATATTTTAAGAACTCTGTAAGGTGTCAGTCAGGTGGGTACTTGAATTATCGGGGAAACATTTTGTAAAGTATGATTATCTGTCCACTATGCTGCACACCTGAAATTAATTCAAAATAATATTTAAAAATAAAAAGAGCAGAAAGCAAAAACATATATTTTGGGGGAACACAATTTGCAACACTGTGTTAGTATAAAGTGCTGTGGCCACCTCTTCTGACTCCATTAACCTTGTGAAAAGAGTTGGTGATAGACATGTTCTTTCTCTCATTCTCTCTCTCTCTCTTGTAGGAATCCCACCCCCTCTTCTGAAGCACACCAGAGCCCTTACATCCTTGCTTTTTTATCCTAAACTCCAAGGGCCCTTCTTTTGCCTCTAAAACTTGTTTTCTGAGCCCACGCAGCCCAGCTGCTCACTTCTTCCACAACTCACTTCTTCTACCACTGTATCTTCTTATTTTTTTAAAAAAATTTTCTTTTTCCTTTTGTTTTTTCTTTTTTACCACTGTATCTTTCTAAATAAACTTTTGCGTCTGTTTAAAAAAAGAGATAGAGAGTTGGTGATAGCCAGGAAAGGTATAATGTGCTATATATATGGTTTTAGATGTAAATATTAAGTATATTTTCTTATTGCAAAAGTGTGCCTACTTTGGAAAGTTTAGAACATGTGGGTATGAAGAAAAGGAAACAAATATCCCATTGTTTGCCTTGATAAATCACCAATTACTTAAAAATGAACTGGTTAGACTTATGCCTCCAGAAAGATGGAGTAGACATATTTTCCCCTATTCCTCTTGTTCATACAACTAAAGGCCTAGGACATTATATGTAAAATAAACATGAGAAGACTCTGAAAGGTGGGGAGACGCAGAGAGACCTGCCAGGGACCTGAGGTGGTGAGTTCACCTCAGGAAATGAGGTGGTGAGTTCCCTAGGTTTTTATTTTTTGTTTCAGTATCCCAGATTTGGAACTGAAGAAGCTGGCAAGCCTGAAAAAAAGTCCCAACAAAAACCTTATCTCTCTAGTCTAGGGGTGTCGAACTCAATCAGAGAAGGGGCCAAAATCTAAAATCCAGCCTAAATCGAGGGCCGAATGGTTTACTGAACAGTCATAAACTGTCATTGTGATGGAAACGCAGCAGAGTGCAGTGATGACAGCGCGGTGCGGGCCACATTGCAAGGCCTGGCGGGACGGATTTGGCCCGCGGGCCTTGTGTTTGACACATGTGCTCTAGTCAAAGGACCAGGAAAGGAGCAGCCAAACAAATAAATAAATTAAAAAAAAGAAAGAAAAAAAAAGAAAATAAAGGGGGGGGGGGGGAGGCGGAAGAAAACTTTTACACAGTAACTGCTCTACTCCAGCCAAACATCTCCGAAAAAACAGTGCTCCCAACCCCCACTCAAGCAACCAATAATGTGAGAGATTTTTGAGATGATTCAAAAACAGATGATTCAAAAACAGGCATGATAACAGTATATTTACTTTTTCTCCCCTTTTGTAAGACTCTAAATCCATTTTAAGTTCTTCAGCCTGCAAGAAGAGACAACTGGTTCTCAGTGGGAGCTCATTGTCCTTCAGTGGGACCTCACTTGTGGGGCACAAATCTTTGATATAAAGTGTAAACGGGAGCTAGTTCTCAAATGCTAAGGTTACTACTGACCCCTACTGCTAAGGAATGGCGTAGCAGGCACAAGACACTGTGGCATCTCCCCTCCCATCTGCTGCACACAGACCTGGATTGTTGAGATTGTTAGTGATGAGGTCGTTTGTAACCAGGAGACAAGAACAGCAAAAACAGTGATAAGGATTTGAAACTGTACAGCAAGAAACATTGCATTAGTGATGATTCTATCTAATGTACATTGTTGAAACAATATATTTGAGCTGATAGAAATTATATGACAGAGCCCCGTCCAGGTAAGCTCAAGAGCGTCATTCAGATATGCCAAGGTTGTGGGTTCCATCCTAACAGGGTATATGTAGGAGTCAATCAATGAATGCATAAATAAGTGGAACAACAAATCCATCTCTCTCTCTCTTTCTTCTCTTTTCCCCCCTCTCTCTCATCAATCAATAAATAAAAATTTTAAAAATTATATGATAGAAACAGGATTTTGAGATGAAAAATGTAATTTGCTAATTTTCTTTTCCTATGCCTGGGCTGATCAATAAGCAGCAATATGATGTAACTGACTAATAAGAAGCTCAGGATGTTATTTATGAACCTGTCTACCAATGATAGAGGTGGTAAGGCCAACAAAATCAAAATCAAGGTAAATGGTGCTGGAACAATTTGACTCCCACGTGAAAAAAAGAGAGCAATCTCAGCTCATCTTACACAACATACATGTAAATTAACTAAAAATATACAAAATTTGACGTTATAAAACTTCTAGAAGAAAACACAAGGGAAAATCTTTGTGACCATGCCTTAGACAAAGATGTCTTGGCTAGGACACAAAAGGCATATGAACCATAAAAGAAAACACTCTTAAGAAAATGAAATCATCCAGGACCGGTTTGGCTCAATGGATAGAGCGTCGGCTTGGGGACTGAAAGGTCCTAGGTTCGATTCCGGTCAAGGGCATATATCTTGGTTGCGGGCATATCCCCAGTAGGGGGTGTGCAATTGGCAGCTGATCGATGACTCTCTCTCATCGATGTTTCTGACTCTCTATCTCTCTCCCTTCCTCTCTGTACAAAAATCAATAGAATATATTTTTTTTTAAAAAAAGAAAAGAAAATGAAATCATTAACCACAGGTTTTTATTTTTATTTTTGGTTAATTCTCACCTTATTTTTTCCATTGATCTTTACAGAGTGAAAGAAAGGGAGGAGGGGACAGAGAGAGAGAGAAACATCGATGTGAAAGATACACATTGGTTGGTTGCCTCCCGCATGTGCCCCTGCAGAGTCTGGGGATCAAACTTGCAACCGAGATATATGCCCTTGACCAGAAATTCAACTGTAAACGTTTCTGTCTGTAGACTGATGCTCTAACCAAAAACGGCCAAGGCACCACCGAATTTTTTTTTAAAGAATAGATTTATTGCAGTATAATTTATATATAGTAAAATTAACGCCAGGTGTATCATTCTATGAGTTTTGATAAATATGTACTTCCATATAACCACCATCACCAGAATTATGATACAGAATATTTTCATCTGCCCAAATAAATTCTTTTCTGCCCCTGCTGTGTTCCTTCTTCTCCCTTCAACCCCAGTCCCTAGTAACTACTGATCTGATTGCTGTTCATGTGCAAAATTTTGCCTTTTTCTGGATGTCATAGAAATAGAATCTGACAACATATAGATTTTCATGCCTGGCTTCTTTCTTTCTCTTAGCATACAACTTTTGAGGTCCAACAGTGTTGTTGCATGTATCATCCTATTTACAGATGAGGCGTATTCCATTGAATGGAGGTACCATAATTCATTTATTCATTTGCCAGTTAATGGACATTTGGGTTATTGTCAGTCCTATAAACATCTATATACACGTCTTTGTACGTATGGACATATGTTCTCAGTAACTACATAGGAATGGGATTGCTGGGCCCTGTAATTGTTACATGTTTAACTATATCAGAAAGTGTCAAGCAGATTTCTAAAGAGGCTGTATCATGTTTTAGTTCTGCCAGCAAACTATGAGAGTCAGTGGCAGCGACCTATGGTTGACATTTTGAATACTCCAAAAGATGTTTTAAAAAATGAAATCACAGAATCTTATTTTAATTAGGTAAATTTGAGAACTTTTTAAAAATCAGAATAACATCTTTTTTTTAATGTGCACCATGCTCTCATAAGTTGCCCACGAATTTAGAAATTTGTGACACTTCTAATGAAAATAACCTTTCAAATAAATCTTTACATCTGGTTTCTTTTTTATTTTGTTAATTTGCTGCCTGGGAATAGAATAGACATCTCTGAATTTCTAAATGAAAATAAAAGTCAGTGGATGGTGAAGAAATGGAAATTAGAAATATATTACTCATTGCCAATCATGGTCACAAATATTTCCAGATTAAAAAACCATTTAAATAGTATATAAAATCCAATCTAATTCGTTTAAAATTTATTTTTGACGGTGGGGAGTCGACATCACTTAAAAAAGTATCTGCTCATCCATACTTTCTAACCATTATGGAAGGCTTGTAGATAGATGCCTTGTTTCATTTTAAGCATTAAAAAAAAAAAAACCACGAAAGGCAGCTACCAGCTGCTACTTTTTAGGGGCAGAAAGTAGAGGTACTATCTCACTTTAACGCCCCCTGGCGACCATGCCACCGCATTGCAGAAAGATGGAGGGGGGCAGGCCGGAAAGACGGGGGGAAAAGGGGGGCGAGGAGAGAAAATGTACGCGCAGGCGCAATAGCGAGCCAGTGGTGTGAGGCGGGACAAGTCTCGGCTAAAGAACAGCTCTTTCAGCCAATAAAGAGACAGCGTCACCGACTTCTTCCCGGAAGTCGCGTTTCCCAGGCGTGGGACCCGCCGTTGCCAGAGTAAACGCAGTTCTGAGGTGAGTGGGCGGCGACGTTTTGGGGCTCCGTTCGCCTCGCCTTCCTCTTTCCCGGACCCCGCAGCCTCGTTAGGGCCGGCTGGGGATGGGGGGGACCTGGGGCGGGGCGCGCTGGCTCCCTCAGCCCAGGCGGCCCTCGGCGTGGCTCCCCGGCCGGCGGGCTGGGGCTGCCTCCGTCCGTCCGTCCGTCCGTCCGTCCGTGTGGGGCGGCCGGGCCGGGCTGCGGGTTCGGGCGTCCCCACCGGACCTCCCGCTGAGCTTCCCGGGTTGGGATGGGGAAGAGGTGGCTCCCGAGCCCAGTGGTCCCGTCGCTCCTCTGGAGAGGTCTCACAACTGCCCTGTCGCAGCCACATTTGCGGTAGAAGAAGTGGGTCCCTGTGGGCTGCGACCTGGCGTTGGTTTCACTAAAAGACCGCCATCGCTGTGAAAAGGTCAGTCCGGAGAAGGGAGGGTTCAGTAACCCCCATTTCCCTAGGATGCCAGGGTCCTCCGTACAGCCGGGAGCCTCGCGGCTCCTGGCTGAGGCTGGCGGCGGGCGGCTCAGAGGACCGAGGGTTCGAATCCCTGCTCTGGACCGTGTGCCAGTCTTTGGTGCCAGAACTTCCCCTCATGGAGATTCGGGATCCTTGTCTGTAACGTGAGGTTAGTACTTAACTCAGTACTAACTCAGAGTGGTTAGGCAGATTAAGTAAGAGGGGATGTATCTGTCTCTTTCCCTCTGCCTTCCTCTCTAAAAATTACAGCATCTTAAAACAAAGTGTATTAGCCTGATTATTTTCCCTTTATTTATATTTTTTAAAATTTATTGATTTTATTGAAGGGGGGGGGGGGATAGAAGTGCTGATTTGTGTTCCACTTAATTTTGCATTCATTGGTTGATTTTTGTATGTTCCCTGACTGGAAATTGAACTTGCAACTTAGCATATCAGGATGACATTAACCCCAACTGAGTTATCTGGTCAGGACATCCCAACTTTATTTAACAATTGCATTTTCCTTGCCATCTTGCCATCTTCTGCTATATCCTTCTTTAAGGTAGTTTTTTTGTTTGTTTGTTTTTTGTTTTTGAGAGATTCACTCAATGGACCTTTATTGAGGACCTAGCACCTTTTAGGCATTGTTTGAGGTGCAGCTTGGTAGAGTTGTGAACAAGACAGGCAATTCCTGAAGTCATGGTGCTCCTGGGAAATGGAGTCAGAAAATAATGTTTTTAAAAAATAGAAATTTCTAGTTTTTGCCCTTTGTTAGCTTGTAAGCATTTTATCCCAGAAAAATGAGATTGCCTGTTATTTTGCTTATACTTTGCTAAATTGAATTTTTAGATTTATTTTTATTAAATTTATTGGGTTGACATTGGTTCATGACATTATGTAAGTTTCAGGAGTACATCCTTATAATTTTACTCCACTGTGTGCCTACCACCCAAAGTCTAGTCTCTATGTATTTGACCCTTTAACCTTACTGCCCTTTCCCACCCTCCTTTCTCTCTGGTAACCACCATTCTGTTGTGCTATATTTATTTTTGGTAGTCAGATCTATTGGTCTTTTGTAGTAGCCTTAAAATTTGTAGTTATTTTTTTGGTAGATTGTAAGTAATACTGGGATGGAGGTAGTGTTTTTTATTTATCCTTGAAAGGTAGTATAATGTAGTGTTTGAGATCTTGAGACTCTGGACCCATCCTCTATTACTTACTCTGTGACTTTACACAAATGGCTCAACCACTTGTTTCATCTCTAAAATGGAAAGAGCACCTTTCTTTTCTCGGATTTCTCACAACCACGAGAAAAGTATTTAGAATAGTTCCTGGCATATACTAATTTGCACTCAAATTTTATCTATCATCATAATAATCATCCCTGGATACTCATTGTCATATATTAAATATATATATGAAAGAATGAACATACATTAAGGATGTTTGTACCTCCAACTTCTCTGATTTGGAGCCCTCTTGAAATGAAGCTGCTCAACAAATATTTATGAAACTTCTATGTGCAAGACTGTGGACATAGCAAGAACTATGATAGACAAAATTTTTCCCTTTATGGAGCTTATTGTCTGGTTGGGGAGACAAATCAGATATGGAGAATAAACACTCCTGTCTCATTGATTCTCAGCCATTGTGGCTTGGTGGAGACTCAGGAAAGTTCCATTGATGTCCTTTGAACTTCACAAATTCCAGTATAAAACTACCTCCAGTATATTATTTGCCATCTTTCATGTTAGATGGTGTTTTATATCTTGAAAAACCTGATTAAGATCAGTCTAAATGAGCACAATTTTCTTTATAGATGAAAATATACTGCAGCATATTTTTTGTGGTGCTGAAAATATTATGTGGAGAAAGAAAGTACTTGGATAATAGAAAAGGATCACAACCTTTCCCTGTTATAAATGTTAGTTTTAGAAACCACGGAGATCGTTTTGTTCTGGGCCCCCAACTGCTAGGGCGAAAAAAGAAAAATATTCTGTCTTTAGTCACCCAATGTGACAGGTTTGTTTTGTAGAGGTCCTCTAAATCTTTGGTCTATTTTTGTAGGTTCTTGATCTTCCACCATGGGTGAGCCACAGCAAGTGAGTGCCCTTCCACCACCTCCGATGCAATACATCAAGGAGTATACAGATGAAAATATTCAGGAAGGACTAGCTCCCAAGCCTCCACCTCCAATAAAAGACAGTTACATGATGTTTGGCAACCAGTTCCAGTGTGATGATCTTATCATCCGCCCTTTAGAAAGTCAGGGCATCGAACGGCTTCATCCTATGCAGTTTGATCACAAGAAAGAACTGAGAAAACTGAATATGTCTATCCTTATTAATTTCTTAGACCTCTTAGATATATTGATAAGGAGCCCTGGGAGTATAAAGCGAGAAGAGAAACTGGAAGATCTTAAGCTGCTTTTTGTACATGTTCATCATCTCATAAATGAATACCGACCTCACCAAGCAAGAGAGACCCTCAGGGTCATGATGGAGGTGCAGAAACGTCAACGCCTTGAAACAGCTGAGAGGTTTCAAAAGCATCTGGAAAGAGTCATTGAGATGATTCAGAATTGCTTGGCTTCTTTGCCTGATGATTTGCCCCATTCAGAAGCAGGGGTAAAAGTAAAAACTGAACCAATGGATGCTGATGATAGCAACAATTGTGCTGGACAGAATGAACAAGAAAGAGAAAGTTCAGGTCATCGGAAAGACCAGATTATAGAGAAAGATGCTGCCTTGTGCGTTCTAATTGATGAAATGAATGAAAGACCATAAAGGATTTTTTGTTATTTTTCTTTTTTCCTTTCCGTAAATAGCATTATATATTAGTTAATTTGCTCTTGGAGAGTCTTAAAAGAGATGAATAGGAGTTATGTAAACAGCTTCACTCTCCAACTTCATCGATTATGAGGTATCACAGGCAGTAATTTCATTTTATGGCAAACATAAGCAATGAGTGTGACTGCACTAAGAGTAATCAACTTAAAAAGCAAAGTGCTGCTGTTGAATGGAATATTCCTGTTTTTGGAGTTGCACTAAACATTGAAGATAATCCTTAGTAATAGCAAATTTTCATCCTTGGAACATAGACTTGTTATTTGCGTTAAGAATGATAAATAAATAAAAAATATCAAGTAGTATGAATATGAAATTGTGAAATCTTTATATTTTACTTAAAAATTTGCTTACTCTCTAAAGTATTATAACATATTAACTACATAAGAGGAATTCTATAGAATTATAAAATAGTAATTTTATTTTTCCTCTTGACTGTACCTGTAAATACACTGTGTCAAACAGTCTTGGCCCTATCCTGGATGAGTCCCTTAACTTTTTTTAGTCAATTAGATAAGTCCTTAAAAAAACAAAAAACAAAACAAAAAAAATATATATATATATATATATATATATATATATGTATATATATATATTATTGATTTTTTACTGAGAGGAAAAGAGAGGGATAGAGAGAAACATCAGTCAGCTGCCTCCTGCAAACCCCCTGCTGAGGATGTGCCCACAACCAAGGTATATGCCCTTGACTGGAATCGAACCTGGGACCTTTCAGTTTGCAGGCAGACACTCTATCCACTGAGCCAAACTGGTTTTGACAGATAAGTCCTTTGATCACTTTTAATTGCAACCACTTATTTTAGTAATTAAAATGTTTAGGTAGTTAATGGTACATTTCCTTTAAAATTCAGTTCATACTTGTTTAAAGCTGGAAGCCTGCAATGGGAAGGGAGTTTGGTGGCAGAGACTGTTAGATGTTTTCTTGCCTCACGCCAGATCTACTAAATCAAACTCCAGCAGTGGTATACAAAAAGCTGTGATTTAATAAGCCCTTGGATGATTCTGCTACAAATAATCAAAATTTAAGTATCAGTGTTAAAAAAAAATCACTAATAAAGGTAATGCCTTTTCCCAGATGTAAACTTCATATTTTCCTGTCCCTGGTTTCCAGTATACCATCCTCATCATTACTCTATTAAGGTCCTCAGCTCTAGAGCAGGCAAAAACCAGTTTAAGTGACCACAGGTCAATTCTATATGTGAAACATTCATTCTCTTTAGAAATCTTTGGAGTGTAGGCTGTTCTCAAGTAGATTGCCCCGCCCCCCCCCTTTTTTTTTTTCTGGCATGTATTTGGGGTGGATTGTTGGGCTCCAGAGGACACAGGCCAGACGTAAGTTTTCAATGAAGGGGAAGGGATACTCCATTCTCTTCTGGGAGAGCAAGCTAGACATTGCATAACACTTGAGCAGCTCTCAAAAGAAATCTGGTTACGTATTTGCCCTCAACCCTTTTATAATCTTAAAGATGTTGGGCTAAAAAGGTACAAAGCCAATTTTTGGCTGTTTTGCAAATCCTTGCAAGGAAAAGAAACCTAATTGAGTCACGCTGTTACAAGAGCTACAACATAATTTATATATTAATTTGTGTTTGGAGAGAGGATTAAGGGATTTAAATTCCATAAGCAATCTTAAATTCTGACATTGAGAGGATCTGATTTTGTAGGTCTTTTAAAAGAATTTTGATGTTAACTATTTCAATGATATAAAGTAGCACAAGATCTGATAGTTATAAGTTTAAAAGCTTATATGGTTCTGGCCAACGTGGCTCAGTGGTTAAAGTGTCAGCCTACACACTGGTTTAGTGTTTGATTCTTGGTAAAGGGCATGTACCTTGGGTTGCAGGCTTGATCCCACTCTTACTTGGGAGTGTGTGGGAGGCAGCCATTAGATGTGTCTCTCTCACATTGATGTTTTTCCCATATAGGTTTTAAGTTTCCCCTCCCTGATACCTTGGGCAACACACTAGATTTCAAGGTCCCCCTTTTATATTGTGGCTTTTCCCTGAATGTATGAAAACATCTGACAGTTTTATCTTGGCAAGGCCAACGGAAAGAATTTGTTTTATCCTAAATCTGATTGAAAGTCAAAAGCAAACATATATAGGGCTTTGTCGACACTGTTCTAATAACTACATAGTCATTTCATCCTCACAACAACCCAACGAAATCAATATAATTTTTATACCCATATTACAGATGAGGAATCAGTTGCTCTGAGAGGTTATGTAATTTACCCAAGGTTACCAAGACAGTGAGTGGCAGAGCTAGGATTGAAAATTTCTACTCTCAAAGGCAAAACAGCCTGGCTGGTGTGAGTCAATGGTTGAGCATTAACCCATGAATCAAGAGGTCAAGGTACATGCCTGTATTTTGAGCTCAATCCCCAGTAGAGGGCGTGTAGGAGGCAGCTGATTTATGTTTCTGTCTCATCAATGTTTCTACCTATCCTCCCTTCCTCTCTAAAATCAATAAAAACATATGTATTTTTAAAAACAAAGAAGGACCAAAACTGGTTTGGCTCAGTGGATAGAGCGTCGGCCTGCCGACTGAAAGATCCCAGGTTCTATTCCGGTCAAGGGCATGTACCTTGGTTGCGGGCACACCCCAGTTGGGGGTGTGCAGGAGGCAGGCTGATCAATGTTTCTCATCAATGTTTCTAACTATCTCCCTTCCTCTCTGTAAAAAAAGCAATAAAATATATTTTTATAAAAATGAAGGGAAAAGACAAAAAAAAAAAAGCCAAAGCACTTAACCTCCATACTTCACCACTTCTCTACTGCAACCTACAGTTAATAATATTAGGTAGTAAGTAGTGGAGCTAAGATGAGAATTCAACATTTTTACCATATAAAGTCCATACTCTTAGATACTCATGATTCTGGACTGAGGAAGAGATTTGTATGTGGAAATTGGACATGTTAAGGCATTTATGTCTTAGACTTCTGTGTGTATTTTAAGGAGATACCTATATATCATTTCCACTTTACGAACTGTCAGCTGAAACTGATTTGGCTCAGTGGATAGAGAGTCTGCCTGCGGACTGAAATGTCCCAGGTTTGATTCCGGTCAAGGGCATGTACCTTGGTTGCAGGCACATCCCCAGTAGGGGGCGTGCAAGAGGCAGCCAATCGATGACTCATCAATGTTTCTATCTCCCTCTCTGTGAAAAATCAATAAAATATATTTAAAAAAAAGAAAAAGAAATAAGGTCAGTTTTGTGGTTTTATGACTACAAAGCACTTGGCATAATTTATGATACTTAGTAAGTTATCAAAAGTCAACAATTCTGCTAAGTCTTTTGCCTTTTGTGTTTGGCATTTAGAATCAAAGATTAAAGAACTGGTTTCAAATTGCAGTGTAATGAATCTAACAGTAAGTGGCACTCTTACCATAAGTTTTATAGCTGTCGCCAGCTGGCAGAGGAGGGAAAAAGATGAGGGAACTCAGAGGTTCTGTTTATAATACTGAGCTTTTTATTCAACAAGTGAAACTTGCTGTCTGTGCCTGATGGTGGCCTTTTCTAGTGGAGAGAACATGGTGTGAATTCTTCAAAATAATATGTTTTGAATAAGTTTTGATCAGAACCTTTCTCCCAGGGCTGCCTACACAAGACCTGGGAAAGACTTCAGGCATTATTGGTTAGTGAATAAGACAGTAAGATGCTTCTCACATTTGTTTAATATATGACCAAATTCTATGAAACTGCTGGTTCCCTGTCTCCCATTCTAGCTTTGGAATAGGGGAAGGCATTCAAAAGATAGAGTCTTGCAAGGAGGTGTGGTTGTATCAGCAAAGATACCCTAGGGGTCTTTACTGATTTTCACATTCATTCAACAAGTAAAAGGGATCTGCTATAAATAATATGCAACCATTTAAGAGCCATTAAGAGAGAGTACTGGGGGAGGATGAGAGCTGGAAGAGATTTATGGAGGGAAAAGGAGGACGTATGTAATACTTTCAATAAAGATTTTTTTTTAAAAAGAGTGAGTACTGATGAAGAAAGATATTCAAGATATGATAAAGTGAGTTGCTGGGTATATTTGTGTCTGTTTATACAGAGTCAAATTTGGAAAATGATATAAAAACCAATTAATGGATAAGGATATTGAGATTCAAATGTAACTTTCTATACACAAAGGACACCATTTAGTAAATGGCAGAATTAAAACTGAGGCTTACAATTTTGAAAAGAGAAAAAGAGCATGGTAGAATTTGGTTTCCACTATTTACTAACTGTAGTTTTGGTTGAATCTCAATTTCCTTAACTACAGTAACTATGGTACCTATTTCAAAGGATAAGTACCATCTAATGTCGAGAATGAAAGATTCATTTTAATTATTTTTGAAATTTGTCAGGTTTTAGGCTTTCTAATCATCTATGTAAGAAGTATCTGATCTAGAAGAGGGAAATGGTGCCTGGAGGCTTAGGTGGTGGGTGAGACTAGGACTCTCTGATTTACTGCTACCTACTAGGGAGAGCAATACAGACTAATGAGGGCCTGGCCATGTGGCTCAATGGTTGAGCACCTATGAACTAGGAGTTTCCAATTCCATTCCTGTCAGGGCACATGCCTGGTTGCAGGCTTGATCCCCAGTAGGGGAGCTCAATCCCCAGTAGAGGGCGTATAGGAGACAGCCATCAATGATTCTCATCATTGATATTTCTATCTCCTACCTTCCTCTTCTATCTCCTACCTTCCTCTCTGACTAATTTATGGAAAATAAAGAACATTATAACCTGATGAACAAAAAGATACAGAGGCAGTAAGGCATTGAACAGACTGTCAAATTACAGTGGGAATGCTGGGAGTGTTGGGGAGGTGGGGAAAGAGATCAACTGAAGGATTTGTATGCATGCATATAAGCACAACCAATGGACACAAGACATTGGGGGCATGGGATGAGGGTATGTGATGGTGTAGGGAAGGCTGGGGGAAGGTCAGTGGGGGGAAAAGGAGATATATGTATTACTATTTCTAATACTTTAAACAATAAAATAAAATTTAAATAAATTCCTAATAACATAGAAGCAAAAAAAAAAGAAAAAAATCTACACACAACAAAATATACCCTAAACACAAAGTGTATAATACACTGTGCAGCATGACATTGTCTTTATTATATTCTCCACTGTAGCTCTTCCATTCAGAAATGGGAGACTATCTTTTCATTAAATTATTATTCCCACCTCTTTCCCCAGCTTAGGGATAGTTTTGAAAAGGGCTTAATTTGTATAAGTTGTTGTGAAATTAAATTTTCATTTATACATGTCATGTGTATGTCATTTAAAATTGTAGCTTGCACTTATGACTTCTGAAATAAAATGACAATAATCTTTTAGTTCTTCAAAAATGTTCAACATAATGCACATGGTAAAAAAAACTTGGGATATTTCATATGCACAGGAAGTGTAAAAAAAATTTACAACCAAATCAGTATTTCCAATGTTAAGACAACTGGGTGCCACCTAGTGTCCAATTTCTGCAACTACTAACCTTACAAATTCAAAATTGCTATTAAAACACAGATTATAATATCTGCATGTTGGAAATGCTTTCTTGAAGTTTATCATTACAAAATAAGGTCATGAAAAGAATGTATGCAATAGCAAAATTAGTATAAAAATAGCCACATGTTATTTAAATATGAAAAACAGACCAAATCATTTCTGCTTTCCTTAAATTTATTCAAAACCCCAAGGATACACATAGGTAGGTAACTGGAATATATAGAAAGCCACTATACAGTCAACAGGCCAGTAAAATCTAGGGCTTACTTATAATTGGTAAGTATATAGGGCAAATGGTTTATTCAAAGCATCCATTTATTTACTGGAAGTGGTTAAAATAGGAAAGGTTCCCCTCCCCTCTTTTAAAAATACTAGCTGTACTCTTTTACCCATAAGTCCATTACACCTAAAGAACAAAGTGAGCTTAATATTTCACTTAATTCAACATTACCGGTTTTTAAAGAAACACCTTAGAAACAAATCTGTGCTTTAACCCAGCTGCATTCAAATTAATGGAATTTTAATCTTCTTTTATAGGCCTTAGCCAAAATCCAAATTGTTGAACAATCCTCAGTGAAGTTGGAATACAGAATGTTGAGGTCAAGTTAGATATCATCAATGTCTTCGTCATCATCACCAATGTCATCAAACTGGATTTCATCGTCATCTCCAGGACCAAATGTATCAGTTTCATTGATTTTGGCATGCTCCGGAAGTTCGCCATATGCCTTCAGACTTCTCGCTTCATCAGCATTGTATTTTAAAATCACATCAGCTTTATTATCCTGGTAGTCTCGTAGACCAACTAATATTATGTCCGAGGTATTTATCCAAACCTTTTTCCTCAATTTCCCTCTGATGTGACACAATCTCTTTACACCATCAAAACACATGGCTTCTAAGCGTCCGTTTCCCAACATTTTGATTACCTGAGCATATTCTTGCCCATCTTCTTTGAACACCAATTCTCTTTTTTCGGATTCATTTTCGTTCTTACCCCTACGTCTATTTTTACCTCCTTTACCTTTATTCTTGGGCATGGCCGGAGCAGAGGCCTCGCCGCGACTTTGACGCGTACTCTGGGGGCGGTGGTGGTGGTGGTGGTGGTGGTGGTGGTGGTGGTGGTGGTGGTGGCAGTTCCTCCAAGGGGCGCGAGGTGGGGCGCGAGAGGTGATGCGTGGAGCCCCACAGTACCCAACGGGCGCGAGAGGCCAGTCACGTGCGTGGGCGAGAGCCCCAAGAGCTTCATCTTGAATGAAATAGGCCAATGTTAATTTTGCCCTCCTGCGCTTGAGTCCGTAGAAGCAGTGATTAATTTTGTGACTTTGTATGGATAAGTTACCAACCCTCTCTAAAGCCTAGTTTTCTCACCTGTAAAATAGGTCCTTAGATTTGTAAGGGTTTGATAAGATTAAGTAAAGTGATCACCATAGTGCTGGCACATAGTAAATGCTCCATAAATGTTAGTTGATATTAATACAAAAATAATAATAACAATAATAATAATAATAATAATAATACATATTACTACCTGATATGATCACCATTAAGCCAGGCGGCAAAGTCTGAGCACTGTTTCTCCTTTGTCACTAATGCTGTTGGTGGTGTCATTCAAATAAGGATAACTTGGATCAACTTCTTAGCAGTGACCTGTGGCTCATGATCACTAATCTGCCTGACGCTGAGAGAGTGCAGCTACCAAGTCCCCAGTGTTGGGATTTCTGCCGTTACCTGCTCTGTGGATTACTCAGGGGACGCACTGAAAGTCAGTCTTCACTTAGGTCCTTGTTCATTATCTTGATTTTTTGCTGCATCCTTTCCATCATGAGGGAAGACAGACATCTTTCCTTCTCCTCAAAGAAAAAGACCAAAAGTGTTAGCTAATAATAAAGCACTATAGCTTTGTGAGGGCACCACATTTTGCCATGGGGGTGGAAAATATAAAGAAACTAATGCCACAATTGGCCTTAAACCCAAGTAAACCCAATCTGAAAATCAGGAGAACAAGGGCAATGTTAACACTCACCAAGCCCTTCGAAGATCCCCACTGCACAGTCCCAGGAATTTGACTAAGTGAGGGGAAGACAGGGCAGGCATACAAGCCAGAGCTGTACACAACTGTGGTGGCGACAATTCAGTGTCTGGCCCTATGCCTGCATTTTTTCAAAAATTGGAACACTGAGAGCAGTTATGTCCTGAGGCTGCCTCTCTCCTCAACCAGACCTCTCCCATAAAGCTATTGCTTAAGGAGGAAACCTCACTACCTTAAACTCTCCCGTACACCTCAGTATTTCTGAATGAGGAAAAAGAGGCTGAAAGCAGTTACCAACAGCTTCAGCAAGCAGGGATTCATTCACCCTCTTGGATCACACAAGATTCCAGGGAATAAATTTGCCTTTGGCAACTCTCCTACTTGAAATCAGAAATAGTTATGTAAGCACAGGGGTTGTGAGTGTGTGGGTCACACAGGAAGATTGCATGAGTGTAAAGCATGGTCTCTATTTCTCTCATTCACAGAAAGATTTGGGCCAAGAAAGGAACTTTCCTCCAACTGTCTGACACGCAGGATATAAATAGAGATGCAGCAGCTCAAAATAAATCAGGCTACATGTAAACATGGTGAAAAGCCCAGAATAAGGGAAAACGAAGGCTTCTATAGGTCACCTAAGAGGCAAAAATACCTAATAGTCATACTGTGCAGTAGCTGCTGAAAGTGAGGGTTTGGGAGTGGAGGGGCCAAGGAGCGGGGTGTGGTTCTGTAAGTCTTAAAAAGGATAATTTCAAAAAGGAATTTTCAATGGCCAGATAACGCATTACCATACATCAAACGTAAGTTAGCATCATAGGTCCACACTCACACACCACCAATGAAAGAGCCCATCGTCACCCTTTGCTGAGTAGATATTTATGTAGCTATCAACTTGAAGAGTCCACATGAGTGGGTGGTCCTGGGTGGTTGGTTGATTCATCTACAAAGAAGCAGATTTCCATGGCACTGTTGTTACTAAGAACCTTAAGGGGCTGTCTACCCTTTGAATCTTCTGGAGAGAAGTGAAGTAAGGCTTTGGAGAGTGGGAGGCCCCCTAGCTAAAGGAGGTAGGACACCCCCACATCCTCAACAATGATTAACCATTAATAAATAGTGAAATGTCAAATAGTGAAATGTCATCATTTCTTTGAATCATAAGCTAATAATAACATGGCCAGTTGTGGATGGTAAACCGAAGCAGAGGAATAAAATGTTGTGTTTATAACTTAGAATAGCCATGGCTGGGTGGCTCAGTTAGTTGGAGCATCGTCCCATACACCAAAAGGTTGCGAGTTTGAGTCCCAATAAGGGCACTTACCTAGGTTGCAGATTCTATCTTTAGTCAGGGTGCGAATGAGAGGCTACAGATTGATGTTTCTCTCACATCAGTCCAGAAATCCATAAACATATCCTTGGGTGAAGATTTTAAAAATAAAAAATAAAAAACTAAGAATAATATATCACAACTGAAATAATAATGTATATACCTAGAAGTACAAATATTTGAGCTGGGAAGAAGCTTAGAGATTCCAAATCATTAGCCCTTGGCTATATTCCAGGCTGTGTTATTAGCATAGGTGACTTTTCTCCCCCCTTCTCTCTCCAGACTTTAAAATTTTATAATTAATTGCCAACAATTAAAAATTAGGAGTCCTGCCAAAATGGAACACCTATCCCCAATAGGCATTCATTCCCCTTGGTGACAACTGCCTGAGGCTGGGGTGGTGGAGCATGTCTCTTGTTCTGCAGTGCCCACCCAGCCCACTTCCCCTGTGTGTGTGACCTGCCCCCAGCTAAGGAACACACACATTTTTCTACCTCCTCTCCTGACCTTGAAGATCATCACCTTTGTTTTGCCAGGAAGGAAACTAAGGATTTCCCAAAAGGTAAGATAACTTGTCCAAGGTCACACCAAAGGTAGAGGTGAAACTACAAATATAATTTAGGTTCCCTTATTCCAATTATAAGACTCTTTCCAACACATCATGAAGCGAAATAATGTTCCTGACCTCCACACCAACAGTGTCCTTTCTATCTGGTTGTTTCCTGCTTTTGTGTTGGTTCTTCCGGTGGAGGGACGATTGACCTGGCACCTGTGCTCTCTCCCCTGCTTCCCTAGGACAGGAATGCATGCAGAGTAAGGTCTGTACTTGGAGCATATGTGAACCCATTACTGGCATATTTCAAAGTGACTTCAGTGTGTCCCAGACAGGGCAGTAACTAACCAGTCACAGTAAAAAACAAGACTTCAGCTTTTAAGCCAGAGCTCTCCAAATTGTCCCCACTAGTGTTTACTTATCTTTTCCTCCTTCCTTTTACCTAAACATCTCCAGTCATACAATTATTGCCTTACTTGATTCCAAAGGTATTAAGAAGGCAATAATACTATAAAGTGAGGATCAGAATAATTTTAAGTACAGAAATGGAACTGTGAATGTAATCATGAGCAAGTGATCCAAATGGCCTCCTCAAAAAGTAATATCCATCTGGCTAATTAATAAAAGGCCAAAGGCGAGAGAGAGAGAGAGAGAGAGAGAGAGAGAGAGAGAGAGAGAGAGAGAGAGAGAGAGAGAGAGAGAGAGAGAGAGAGAGAGAAAGAGAGAACACAGAACACATTGACCAGTTGCCTTCGGTACATACCCTAACTAGGAATCGAGCCAGCAACCCTCCGTGCACAGGACAAAGCTCTACCAACTGGCTGTGCTGAATTTTTATTATTTTTAGCAGATTTATTGAGAGTTAACACATGGCATGCATTTTGTAAATATCAGCCCTGAAACCATGATTAATTGACTCTACCTTACGCTTGAATATGCTAGTTGTTATTAGTTATGTGGGCAGACATATCAAGGGCAAATAGCAAGTTCATGAAACATGGTTTATAGTGGAACAATCTGGAGTTTAGGGACTTGCATTCTCATTTGAAATTACCAATCCTGTGCCTTTGGGCAAATCAATCTTCTCAGGTCTCAGTCTCCCTGTCTATAAAATGAAGAGGTTGGCTGTGACCTCTTGAGTACTGCTACCTCTGTGGTGCTATGAAAGTGCACACACTTAACCAAAGCTGGAGGCTTACACTTAGTGGTCAGATTATTATGATCTCTGAACCTATAATAATCTGGCCACTCAATGTATTTGTATCTCAAATGGGTACCAAAAGTATTTTAGACTTTTGCTGGAGATCAACCACCTATTTGCCCTGAGCTTTCTATCAGCCAGTGCAAAGGGGAAAACTGATCAGGTACATGATTTATAGTATCTTTGATATCAAATAAATGAGGTACTCAAGAGAAGTACACTGAGTGGCCAGATTATTACGCGTTCAGAGATGATAATAATTTGGCCACTCAGTGTATATTAAATGTATTTGATGGCATAAAGGTGCATGACAAAGAAATCCAGGAAGGAAAGACAGAAGACCATGGGTTTTGAGAAACTCTAGACTGTTTTCTCACTTGCCTTTTGTAAACAACCCTTGGCTTCTAAGTTTCCCAGACAGAAGTCACTCTCCCAGGGCTGAGACTGTTTGGGCTGATATGTTAGCTCAGAGATGGAGAGTGTGGCGGTAATTCAATATTTTCCATCAAATGATGCCTAAAATGTGGGTGGGAAGAGAACATCTGGTGTATATAAGATGGAATAGAATATTGAAGTCCCCTTATTTTACCCACAAGAAGGGAGAAAGAGCATTGGTGACAAGACTGTTTCTTCCCTAAGTGAAAGAGTTTAAAAGTTCAGGTCAAAGTCAGAATATTAACACAAATTCCTCATTTTTTAAATTTTATAAATGAGGAAACTGAGATCCAGCAAGATTACATGGTGTAGATCAATTTGTGTTAGAACAAGGCTAAGAATTAGGCTTATAATGGAGTGGAAAGGGCCCATAAATGTAAGGGTAATGAATATGTCATTCATTGTGGTATTCTCTAGCTCTTGGTCCAGTGCCTTACACATAGTAGGTTCTTCATAAGCAATGGTCACCACTGACCAATTGACTGACTTTCTGAATGAATGCATGTGTTTCTGATTTGTGTTCCCTGATAACCAGCTGGATCAAAATGTGATCCATTTGAAACAGAGGACTATTTTACTTGGAGGTATCAGAAAGCTTTCTCGCCAAAACTGGTTTGGCTCAGTGGATAGAGCGTTGGTCTGCGGACTGAAGGGTCCCAGCTTCGATTCTGGTCAAGGGCATGTACATTGGTTGCAGGCACATCCCCAGTAGGGGGTGTGCAGGAGTCAGCTGGTTTATGTTTCTCTCTCATCGATGTTTCTAGCTCTCTATCCCTCTTCTTTCCTCTCTGTGGAAAATTAATAAAATATATTAAAAAAAAAGAAAAAAAAGAAAGCTTTCTCACTGAGAGACACCTTTTTTCTTTATTGAGTAATACTTTCTGAGTATTGTTTCCTCTTTGTTGATACTCTCAGAATGAATATCAGAGTTCTAACAGGAAGTTGGTGGAGCATGACAGAGAACTGGGGTTTCCTTTGATGTAGACTTGGTGGCTTTAATAGAGGAATGATCAGTAGCCTGATGCACCAGTGTGCTAGGCTGGCACTCAGGGAAGTGGCCACCGCTCCCGTGATTGTGGAGTAGAAACGCAGTTGCAGGAAGTACCCAGTTCAATTGAAGAATTAAAACGGCACCTCAACAGAGCCAGTCTTGGGCTTTTCTTATAACCCATGTTTTCACATCTTTCCTTCGACTGTGTCCTGTGGCTGCTACTACTTACAAGTAAGTCTGGGCATGGACTTTTGCAATTGGGTTGTGCAAGATAAAGATACAAGGATGGCCTTCGTAATGTTTGCAGTAGCGAACATTTGGAAACAATCTAAATGTTCACCAGCAGGGAAGTGGAAAAAATAAATTGTGATATATCTATGATGCAAACAGTGAATCTGATTAAACATAATGATATGAAGTTTCTCTTAAGTCGATGTTAATTTAAAAAAAAAGAGAGGAACAATGTGTATAGTAGACTTCTTTCTGTCTGTTTGTGTTGCAAAGTGTGGCCCTACACAGATACTTCTTAATGCATAGACTCTGGGAAGGGGATCTGGGAATAGGAAAGAGCAAAGGGACTAGACTTTTCATATACCTTTTATACTGTTTGTTTTACAGTGTATGTTTTTTTGTTGTTTTTTTTTTAAAGAGACCAACTAATTTTAAACCTAAAAAGGGTTATGTATTAGCTTCTTATTCAGGTAAGGGTTTTATTCATTATGTGCCTGGTACTTAAAAAAAATTGAGAGCGAGAGAGAGAATTGTGTTAAGATAACTGCCCTTCATTGATGGACAACACTATCCTAAATGGCTCAGATATTTTCCTGGCTGACAATGAATGTTTTTTTTTTTTTTTTTTTTTGTTTTTTGTTTTTTTTTTTTACTCTTTCCATCATCCCTGCCCTCCATTGTTTATAGTACTGGGCCGCAAGTCTCTCCTAGAACTTGGTTTTCAAAATGGGGTTCCAACACCAGCCATGTCAGCAATTCCAGGGAACTTGTTAGAAATACAAATTTTTATGCCCTACTCCAGATCTAGTAAGTCAGGAATTCTAGAAATTGAGCCAGGCATTTGTGTTTTAATCAGACTTTCCAGTGGTTCAGATACCCCTCAAGTCCAAGAGTCATTGCTTTAGTGGAGCCTCCTTTACACTGGAGAGCAACAGTGCTCTCTTTACTCTGCAAGCATTACTTGCACTTTTCCTGAAGTAGACCAATCTCACTTATCGCCTGCATCTTGCTCTCTTTTTCTCTTTGTCCAGGGTCTTTGGAGGAGTCATTCACAGCCACGGTGGGTCAGAATGCTTATCTGTCCTGCCACTACTTTCCAACCACCTCTGAAAACCTCGTGCCTGTGTGCTGGGGCAGGGGGTCCTGTCCTACATTTCAATGTCAGAATACAGTGCTCACCACTAATGGAAGGGAATTGAACTACCAGAGTTCTAGCAGATACCAGCTAAAGGGGAATATCCACAAAGGAGATGTGTCCTTGACCATAGAAAATGTGACTTTAGCTGACAGTGGGACTTATTGCTGCCGTATCCAATTCTTGGGCCCAATGAATGATAAAAAATCAAACCTGAATTTGGACATCAAACCAGGTGAGTGGACTTTGCATGCTTTCTTTATGAATAATCCCCTGCAGATTGTATTAAATATACTAATTGTTTTCACTCTGTCCTTCCCAATGACAGCCCTGGTGGTGGCCCCTAAGACTTAATAGGCCCATAAGCAATGTCTGGCCATGTTTAGTTCTTCCGTCTATATTGAAACTTATGACTAGTATCTATATAATGGCAGGAAAGGCCTAGATCAATTGTTGGAACCCTGACTGCTCATCAGATTCAGGGGGCTTTTTAACACCAATAAACATTGAGCCCTACCCACAAACCTGAGAAAGCAGTGTCTTTGGAGATAGAGCCTGAGCACTGATAGTTTATAAAATCTTCCCTAGGTGCTTCTCCCCCACCTGCAGCCAGGATTGAGACCCACTGAACTGTGGGTGTGCGCAGGGGTGTATATGCTTGTATGTTTTAAGGTTTATGGAGCATGTACTTTTGGCTGATGGAGCTGAATTCAACTCCAACTCTGCCTCTTACTAGCTGTGTAATATTCTTGCTCCAGGTATTTAAACTGTGTGGCCTTCTCCTTTATGAAATATGATATTGCCCATCATATAGGCCATTGGAAGGATTTTAGGGGATGTATTGTGAAAACAATTTAGTGTGTGGCTATTAGTTCTATTATTAACAATTAGACTGTGACAATGACGACTGTAACACAGTTCTTAATATGTGTAATGAACATTTTAAATGTGTGATACACTCTTAAGGAAGGTGTTTGGGTTGAAGGTGAGCATGTGTTTCTCTTTATTTTTTCCCTTTGTATTCCTTGAAACAAGCTTTCTGCTCTCAGGGAAGCCTCCTTCTTACATTGCTTTCTGACACTAGCCAAGGTCACCCCTGCTTGGACTCCATGGAGATCCTTCACTACAGCCTTTCCAAGGATGTTCACCACTGAGGATCATGGCTCAGGTAATTTTACATGGATGTAGGAGGAAGCCTTTAGGTGGTTTCTGAGTTCAGAGGATTTTGAATATGGGGGAAAGGAGGAAATGGTTTAAGAACTGACACATAAATGTTTCTGTACACATGAGATAGAATTTCAGGTGAGGGAGGTGCTGGAATAAACCTATACTGAGAAATGTAATGAGCCTTGGGCTAGTACCTTTCACTTCTTTGAATCTCAACTTTCTCTTCTGTCAGAGAATTATGGTTTTCATGACCCAGTAAAATTCCTGACCCTCACCTAAAAGTATTTCTATCAACATATTTTGCCAAGTAAGAAAAACAAAATTTCTATCTTAATATTATTATCTCTGCAAAAAAAAGTATCAGTCTTTTAAATTAAGTAAACTTAATCTAATGAAAATCTCTTTACATTGCACTGTTATTTTGTGATTTATTCCTGGACTGGTGATGTTTTATCTTAAATTGATTCCAGTCCATGTTTGGGGTTGGATTCGGTGATTTCTTGGACTTCTTCTAACTGGAATAAGCCCAGCATCCTCATCAGATTTTGATCATAGTAGGAGCAGCTAAATTCTTTAAATAATTGAGCTAGGCCTTTTCAATGCTGTTCTGGAAGAGAAGATAGGGTCAGAAAAGCAGACTTCAGGTCACATTGATCAGAAAGATTAATTTTAAATATTTTCTCTCAGAGACCTGGTCTCTCCTAAACTCTCTGAAGCTCATTATTTTATTTTGTAAAATGAAGTTAAAAATAGGCAAATCCTACTTCCTAATGTTACAAATCTCATAAGTTGCATTTTATGAGATTTAAATAAGAAATGTGACTAAAGTGCTTAGCTGGGGTTTGATCATGGTACGTATATACTCAATGCATGTTAGTTATTGTTGTTAACATTATCAGTAAGAATCAGAGGCAGGGTGAGGTTGTGGGTAAGTGCTTCAGTGACAGGTAGAATAGGTTCTAACGTCAGCTCTTCATACTAGACTTGTGAACTCAGTCAAGTTGCCCAAACTCTGTGAAACTAAATTTCTTCTCCCTTCCAGTGCCTACTTCATAGGATTGTTATAAAAATTGAATTCTATCTATAATGTATGTAAAGATCTCAGCATAGTGCCTGGCCCACAGAAAGCATTCAAAATAAGTTATTATTATAGTTATTAACATCAGCTCTCTAACCTTTGGTGATTCTTTAGTGATTGCTAGCCACCATCACTTATGCAATTAGTGAGGAAATGAAGGGTGGTGGGAACAGATGATCACCCATGTTGTAGGCAAATCAATTAATACCAGGAATTTATTATATGTGATTATTTTCCTTTTAAAGACCCTATAACCATAAACCTAGAAGGGACTTCAGGGGTCATTTCATCCCACTGTCTCATCCTGTGCCACAATGTTCTTTATAATATCACCACCAAGTAGATATTCACTCTATGCCCATACCCATTCCTGAATGGGGAGTTCACTTCCTCATGAGACAGTGCATTTCCTTACAGTTGTCTGTGCCAAAAACAGAAGTCTCCTTCCTTTCAGTTTTTACTTTTTTTTTTCTTTCCCTTGAGACAACAAAAATGGGGCCATCTCTTGCATCAGGGAATATAGGTACTGCACCCACAATCTCTGAGATTTTAAAATACCCAATAACATATTTAAACAAAGAAAACAAAAAGGAGAAAACCTTCAAATAGGAAAATTTAAAAATTCAAATTAATGATATTGAATTGGGTATCTATAATAAGTGGAATTATGTCAGTTAGTTACTTTCAAGCCAACTCATATTTAGTTATATGTATGCCTTTTCTTTAATATGGAATGCAAATAGATTTAATATGTTTGCTAGCAAGAAGATTGGAGCCTTAATAAGAGTTCCAAGAATTCTGGAAACTCCTAAATTCACCTTGAATTCAGAACAAATGCAATCTCTCTTCCATCTGATAGAGGTAGGACTGGGTCATGAGTACTATTAAATCCTCAGCTCTGGAGAACTTTGAATCTCAGGCTTGCCAATTAATAGTTGTGTGAACTTGGGCAAATCTCTCTGAGATTCAGTTTTTTTCATCTGAAAAATAATAGTACCTACCTACTGTGGTGAAGATTAAAAGAGATTTTGCATGTAAAGTGCTAAGTACTATATCTGGTACTTACATGCCATATGGCAACTATTAAATTTATGTACTTAAAAAATAAAATAAATTTATATAATTTTAAAGACCATTACATCCCACCCTAACTGCCACCTCTACCACAGGCACTCTTGTGTTCCCCAAGAAAACAATTACAACTTTCTTCAACTGTTCCACCATCTCGATTGAAGACTATATATGTGAAAATAAGCCACAATGATATAAAAGAACTCTTTTATCCATCATTTTCACTGTAAAATAAACTGAAAAAAGAGAGAAGGAAGGGGAGTGAAATAGAGGGAGGGAGGAAGGGAAGGAGGGAGGGAGAGAGAGAGAGAGAGAGAGAGAGAGAGAGAGAGAGAGAGAGAGAGAGAGATAAGATAGTTTTACAATTTAGGCCAAGAAAAATAAACTCAGGGAAGTAGAGTTGATTTACAGTAGAAAAATCTTGGTGTGGTTAAGATTCATGTTTACTTAGCAGTTCCACCAATATGGTTTTTTAAAAAATATTTTTTATTGACTTTTTACAGAGCGGAAGGGAGATAGAAAGTCAGAAACATTGATGAGAGAGAAACATCATCAGCTGCCTCCTGCACACCTCCTTCTGGGAATAAGCCTGCAACCAAGGTACATGCCCTTAAGTGGAATCAAACCCAGGACCATTCAGTCCCCAGGCTGATGCTCTTTCCACTGAGCCCAATGGGTCAGGGCTGGTTTTTATGGTGAGTCCAAGATAATGCTTTTAGTTTTGTTTCTTTTAAGTATATATTTTTGATATCAGAGAGAGGAAAGGAGAGAGAGATATAGAAACATCGATGATGAGAATGAATTATTGATCTGTTGCCTCTTGCACACCTCTTATTGGGGATTGAGCTGGAAACCCTATACATGTGCCCTGACTGGGAATTGAACTGTGACCTCCTGGTTCATGGGTCTATGCTCAACCACTGAGCCATAATGGCCAGGTTTCTTTCTGGTTTTTATGGTGTGTGTAGTATTTTTAATTATTTATTGATTTTTAGAGAGGGGAGAGAGAGAGAGAGAAAAAAAAAAGAGAGGTATGGACTCGTTGTTCCACCTATATATGCATTCATTGATTGATTCTTATACGTGCCTGCAACCTTGGCGTATTTGGGCAGTACTCTAACCCAGTGGTCCGGAAACTGCAGCTCGAGTGCCACATGCGGTTCTTTGGCCCCTTGAGTGTGGCTCTTCCACAAAATACCACGTGTGGGCGCGCACGTACAGTGTGATTGAAACTTTGTGGTCCATGCGCAGAAGTCGGTTTTTCGCTCTCAAAAGAAATTTCAGTCTTTGTACTGTTGATATTTGGCTCTGTTGACTAGTGCCGACCACTGCTTTAACCAACTGAGCTACCCAGCCAGGACTTTGTAAAAATAATAATTTTAGGCTAAGCTTTGCTCATATAATATTAAAATCATAGTCTGTTAAATCAGGGGTTTCATATGAAAGGATTTAGACCTTTAGGACAACAGAAAAGTGACTTAAGAAGTTTCAGAGTCTCTGACTGAACCAGAAAAATGAGTAGGCATACCTTTGTTTTTCCAATTCTGACAGTCTTTAGGATGCAGTCTGTGAGGTCAGGGCCTGTGCCCTTCTTCTTCACTGCTCTGTCCCCTGTGTCTGATAGAGCAGATGTGTAGTACATGTTTGCCAATTGGGTGGGCAGGTGAATAAATAAACAAAAAGAAAAGAAGTTAAGCTGGCAGCTGGGCAATGTGACCCACTTAAGAGTAGTGATAATGCCAATGTGAAGGATGTTGAAGGCAGCAGAGTTAAGTGTATATGCTTATATTTACAATTGCCCAGATGTGGAAGCAACCTAGGTGTCCATGGATAATGATTCTCCTTCATCATATATCTCTCTCTCCTTCTCCTTTCCTTTCTCTGAAATCAATAAAAACATATTTAAAAAATAGAAAGGAAAATATTACACACACACACACCCACACACACACCCACACACAGGAATATTACTCAGCCACAAAAAGAATGGAATCATGCCATTTGCAACAATATGGACGGACATAGATGGTTTAAGTGACATAAATCAGATGGAGAAAGACAAATATCTTATGTAATTATAGGTAGAATCTAAATATAAAAATATTTTTAAAAGAATATATAAGTAATTATATGTAGAAGCTAAAAAACAAAACAAATGAACAAACAAAGCAAAAACATACTCATAGCCACAGAGATCAATCTAATGGTTTCCAGGTTGAGGGGAAGGTGAAAAAGGTGAAGGGGAATATAGTCAATAATACTGTGATAAATTTACACAGAGACAAATGACTACTAGATTTACTGTGGTGATTACATTGTAAGGTATATAAATGTCAAATCACTATATTATACACCCGAAATTAATATAATATTGCACACCAACTATACTTAAGTTAAAAAAAAAAGAAAAAAAAGAGCCCAGCCGAGTGTTGACCCATGCATCAAGAGGTTACTGGGTCAGCCCTAACTGGTTTGGCTCAGCGGATAGAGCTTCCAGCCTGTGGACTGAAAGGTCCCGGGTTCGATTCTGGTCAAGGACACATCCCCAGTAGGGGGCGTGCAAGAGGCAGTTGATCGATGTTTTTGTTATTGATGACCTGGGTCAATTCCCCCTCAGGGCACATGCCGGGGTTGTGGATTCCCAGAGAGGGGCGTGCAGGAGGCAGCCAATTGATGTTTCTCATTGATGTTTCTCTCTCTTCCTCTCCCTTGCACTCTCTCTAAAATAAATATAGAATCTATAAAAGCATTTTTTATTTATTTTTTTAAAGAGTGTATGCTAAAGCCATGGAGAACAAAATTGGAAGATCATTTCTGTCATTCACTAAGCTGTGTGACCTTGGTTAAGTCACTTCCTAACTCTTGGCTTTCTTATTTGTGTAATGGAGCTAATTGTCTCTACTTTAGGAAAGTTGTAAGCTAAAAGAGTTACTTCAAAAGTTTAGCACAATGCTTGCTCATGGTAAATTGTAGATATAGTTATTTTTATCTTCATGTTTAGGCAACCAACTACACTGTTTTCCTTTTATTGAGAAAATGCCAATCTTTTCCAAGAAAATTAACTTTCATTATCTGTTGAAATCGAATTATAATAGAACATCTCCCTGAGTGTTATCAATATTGTTGGGATTTTGCAGATTCTTCTAGGGCCCTGGGGACACAACAAACCACATATTCAACATAGGTAGGTCTTCAGGGCAGAAATCTCCATTTTATAGAACATAAGCAGCTGGGTTCATTACCTGGGGGGAGAAAATCCTAATGTTGACATATAAGTGTTCAGTAAAATTTGTTGGTCTCCCAATTAATTATTGTAAAAAGTATACAGTAGAGTTAATTTCAAATAGGATTATAGAGATTAAAAAAAATCAAATAAAATATATTCTTTTAAAAAATATTTTTATTGATTTTTTAGAAGAAGGGAGAGGAAAAGAGAGAAAGAAACATCCATAATGAGAGAGAATCATCGATTGGCTGCCTCCTGCATGCCCCACTCTGGAAACGAATCCTGCTAAACAGGCATGTGCCTTAACCTCAGAATCAAACCGTCATCTCTTGCTTCATAGGCCAATGCTCAACCACTGAACCACAACAGCTGAGCAAAAGAAAATAATTTTTTCCTCCCAACGGATCTATATTTAGAACTAGGCTTAAATATTAAGCAACATGGATAGAGCAGAATAGTTGACTTGTCAAGAAAAATAAAACTCAAGACCTGACCATTTTCTCAGAAGCACTTTCATACAGGTCTTTAAGAGTCATGTTCATTCTTTCTATCACTGCCCACTGTTGGGTAGAATAGCAAGCAGCAAGCCAATGCCTTTACTGGTATGTATACCAATGCGTTTTAAATCCAAGAGAATTTCTATCTAAAAGGGAAGTCTCTTTTAAGCAAGAAAATATTTTTAACTGTTCTATTTGTTATTCTTCCTCTTCGTAGCAGAGACACAAACTCTGGAGACCTTCCACGATAAAAATCAAACAGTAAGTAACTTTTGTGTCTGTGTGTGAGCTAACATTGTGTTTAACCCAGAGAAAAGAAAGTGTGGGTTTAGTCTTCCTTCCTGCCCACTCTTTCCTTGGGAAAAATGCCTCATCTTCCTTAGTTTCAGATTCCTTGACTATAACGTTGATTTTAATAACAGTTCTGACTGTTGGAACATGGGCCCGGTGTAAGCATGGAATGCAGTGATGCATGTGAAGGGCCAGCCACATAGTTAGCCCTGGAAAACAAACAAAAAAAAGAAGCATTAGCATTGTGTCCCTCTTCTCTGAGTTCACAGCTGCACACCACTGTGGGCAAGTCAAAGATCCTTCATCTCCCTAGAACATGTTTTTTCCTGCTTCCATTGCAATCCAACTGAGAAAGATTATATTTTTGTTTGAATTTATTTATGTATGTATGACAAGATACCAGTCAGGAATATTCTAAGCCAGGAATTTATATATCCATTTATAAACAAAAACACGATGAGTTTAGTGTCCCCCACTTTCTTTGAGTAAAGGAGAAAAATTTCTAGCAATGACCTAAAAATTCTTTGAGGACTTATCTAGGGGTCCTCATTCATTTAATTCAATCTCATACTTGTGTGTTCACAACTGAGGCTCAACATTTTGTGTTTCTCACCTCTTTGTGATCAAGGACTGCCTTTTAAGTGTGCACCCACAATGCTTGATGCACAATACCTTGCAAATTGCACTCCTGTAGTTAAGTTGAATAAATGGAAGATTTAATTTCCTTGATTTTTTTGTTTTAAAAGTGTTTCCTGTTATTGGTTTTAAAGGGGGACCATGGACTGACATTTTACAAGGAGAGGATTTTCTGTGTGACTCTCAGTTATCAAAAAGTCAAATTAATTACAGCAATAGCAATAGCTATTATTGATTAAATATTTATCATGTATCAGACCCTATGCCATGCATTTTGTATTTTTTGTCACTTACATTTCCCAATAACTCTATAAGATGACTCAGCTCTTGAGGACCGAGCTTGGAGTTGAACTCATGACTGTCTGTCTGGCTTTTAAGTCACAATGGTTCTGCCAAAATAGTTTTTGCAAGACACCAAATTTAGACCATCCGGAAACTTTATGGGAACACAAAGGGACGTGAATGAAGAGGATTCTACTCCAATTTTGTGGGAGAGGGAGTCCACTTACTAAGAGCTCCTTTTTTACACAGTACAGAAGGGCACATTTTATTTCCTTGTGGACACCAAAGATTAAGTACTTCATTTTTTTGGATGACTTGAGGCTTGTCGAGAAGGGAACAGATTAAGAGTGGTTTCTAGGTCCCTGTATTCTTGTATTGCTGCAAAAAGGATGGTCCAATTCACAAGTCATGAAAATGGCTGAAGCATACTACCTATTTCTGGCCATATGCTACAATTCTGTTTGTGTTTCCACAGCAAATATCCACACTGGCAGATGAGTTACAAGACTCTGGTTACAAGACCACCAGAATAAGTGTCTATATTGCAGCAGGAATCACTGCTGGGCTGTCTCTGGTTCTTATCTTTGGTGCTTTAATTCTCAAATGTAAGTCACTTGATCTTGTATGTTTTTCCCTTTGTTAGGAACTACTGATGTAGGAACCAACATAAACCTAGATAGAAATATAAGTTTATATTTATACCTAAAGATGATTAGACTGGCTCTGTCCAGTATTGCTTAATGGTTACAAAGTCGGCCCGTACACTGAAGGAAAGGTCCTAGTTGTGATTCCCAATAAAGAGGTCATGCTTGGGTTGCAGGTACCATCCTGGTCCTGATCGGGGTGCATGTGGGAGGCAACCAATCAGTGTGTCTCTCTCACACTGATGTTTCTCTCTCCCCCCTCCCTCTGCCCCTCCCTCCCACTCTTTCGAAAGAAAGTAATGGAAAAAATATCCTCAGGTGAGGATTTTTTTTTTTTTTAAAGGAATAGACTGCATAGTAGTTTCAGAGAAACATGTTTTCATTATTTCTTACAGGTCCTAGAATAAAATTGAAACTTTGATTATGACTTGAAAGGTCCTATAGATCTGGCTGTAGCCTAACACTCAGACCTTATCTTGAGCCACTCTTATTCCAGCCATATTTTTAGTTTCAGGCACTCACTGTGATCTTTACCAGGAGTTTTCTCTGCTTGGAATGCTTCTTCTGGCTCTTTACTTGACTAATTCATTCTTCTCTTTCAGAGCTGACCTTCAAGGTCACCTTTTCTGAGAGTGCTTTCCTGACCTTCTCTTTTCTAAGTTCCAGTGCATTGTTTGTTTCCTTTATATCACAGCACAAGAAATTATTATTGTTGTTATTATTATGGTGTTTGAAATCCACCCTCACTAGAACGCAAGTTTCACAAACTCAGGGCTCATAATTTATCTTTATGTTCTTGATGTTTAGAATGCTGCCAGACACAAAGTAGGTGTTCCATATATTTGTCAAATATGAAAAATGGCCCAACCAGCGTGGCTCAGTGGTTGAGTGTCAACCTATACACCAGGAGAACAAGTTTGATTCCCAGTCAGGGCACATATCTGGGTTGCAGGCTTGATTCTCAGAAGGGGGCGTGCAGGAGGCAGTCCATCAATGATTCTCTCTCATCATTGATGTTTCTCTCTCTCTTCCTTCCTCTCTGAAATCAATTAAAAAAATTAAAATAATATGAAAAATGCATCTTTATTACTTTCAAGCATAGTTCATGTAATAAACCAAGACACACATGAGTAGTTTAATTTAATTCAATTTAAGGGAGACCAGATTTCCTTAAATAATCCTTGCCTCCTATGAGCCATTTTTTCTTTAATTTATGAAAGAAATTTTAATTGACTTTTCTTCACCTTTTTACCCAGGGTATTCTCATAGGAAAGAGAAGTTACAGAATTCCAGGTGAGAATAAGGGATGAGGTAAAAGAGGGTGGGAATCTTGGTTTTCTATACCAATATGACTTTGATCTTTGCTTCTAGAAGTCCTGCCCTTGGACTCTGGGATCTAATCTTATATTTCCTTTTTGCTTTAGGATTTATGAAATGTAAACCTGCTCCTCTGTTTACTTCCTGATCTCTCTAGCTTCCTTATTCCTAAAACTAAGGTATAGCAGTCATCTCCCCATGATAAGAAGTGCATATTTCTTTCTATTTTAATCAGTCTTTTTAGTTGGCTGACCCTTCAATTGATGGAGTATCTACTGCATCCAGGCTCTGGGTGTGCCCCACAAGTAAACAAGTACCCAAGAATCTACTCTCAGGGCTTTTATAGCCCAGTACAGGTGTTCTTAACTTTGATAACCCATTAGAATCACGTACACAATCTGTTGTCATCCCAAGAGCAAATCAACCAGGTTTTTTACAGATAAAGCCTAAGCATAGATATTTTTGTAAAACTTCCCAAGTGATTCTAATGTGCAAATAGGGTTGAGAAGTACTGGTCTTTATATTGCAGTTAGTGCCCATTTATGACTATCTTGCACATAGGTCTGTACATATCGATACATATGCATACACCCCAATTCCAAATACATTTAGTGTACATAACTTTTATTTCATTTTAGCAACATTTGGTACATTGGTAGAATGCAGTATGTATCAAGGGAAAAAAAAAGACTGTCCATTGAATACTATATAAACCAATAATAACTTTAGACTAATATATTCATGAAAACAAAGTAATCTACAGTAAATAGTCAGAAGCCAAAAGAAAAGGTCAAGTAAAATATGTATCAATGGTTTTAGATTATCTGTGTCACTATTCTTTAATAGAGCTGAAACCTGAAAACATTCATAGTGACATTTACATGCATTAATTCATGTACATTTGTCACACCATTTGGTTAAAGGTCATCTCTACCTATAAAGGTAAATTCTATAGAAAATAAGGAACTTGTCTGCCACATTAACAACTGCATCTCCTAATACAGCACTTGATACTTAGTAGGCACTAAGTATTCAATATTTTATTATGAATAAATAAGTGCTCCTTATAGCAGCCTGGTCAGATAGAGTGCTAATTATTCCCATTTTACAGATGAGGATGCTGAGACAAAGTTTTCTAACTTCATGGGATGTGTGTTTTATTCACTACCATGCCTCTTGCTGTATGAAACAGTGTGTAACACACTAAATAGTTCCCAAGCAAATGAAATAACAAAATTCAAGATTACATGTCTGGTTTAGTGACAGGAATAGAATTCAAACTCAAATCTGATTGGATACATAACATATTTATTTCTTTTTTGTTTTTTGAAATTGTTCCAGCTCATAGAACAATTGAACAAGGAATACTAGAATCCTTCACCAAGATGTGCAATTTAACATTTTAATATTTTTGCTTTATCTATTTTTTATACACACGTGTGTTTTTTCTGAACCATTTTCAGGACATTTCAAACATCTTGACACTTCACTACATACTACTTTAGTATGTATCTCCTCTGAATAAGGATATTCTTTTAGATCACACAAAGCCATTATTTTTTTTTGTTTCCAACAATGCCATTTTTATACCTAAGGAAATTAAGAGTAATTCAAATTGTCTTAATGTTCTTCAAATTATTCTATTTTATGGTTTCTCCCCCAGTCAGGACCCAATCAAGCATCATGTACTGCATTTGGTTGGCATCTCTTCAGCAAAGCCTATTCTCTCTCTCTCTCTCTCTCTCTCTCTCTCTCTCTCTCTCTCTCTCTCTCTTTATGTCTCCTGGGAAATGCTTACTTGAACTGCGACATTTTATTTCCACAGCCTCATCACTTTGGCCAACCGCCTTCCTTCCTCGGGGTTAGAAAATACAGTAGCAGAGGGGATTCACTCAAGGGAAAACGTCTATACAATTGAGGAGAACCCATATGAACTGGAGGACCCATCTACCGATTACTGCTATGTCATTAGTGGGTAGCAATCCTGACAACCTCCGAGTCTTCACCCTTCTATGCCATCAGACCCAGCTTCATTTGTGAGCATATATTGTCTTCTTTAAAAGCTATCAGCTGACTGACTTTAAGATTCTGCCTGTGGCTACCCAGCATTCTTTATCCAGTTTTCTGAAGATAAGCTCACAAAAGGATTGAACCAAGATCTCCCCAGTGCTCAGACTTGTTACTCCCTTACCTCCACATTCCAGCCAACTGGTTAGTGAACTCAGACACTGCTAATCGGGGCATTAGAACTCAAATGAGCTTCTCTGTGAAGTAGGAATTCTTAATGTGGAATTAAGTAGGAATTCCAGGACTTTCAGTTCCTTGTATCCAAGAAGCTCCAGAAACTGGGGGAAATTACGTGCTGAGATTTATGCATGCCTTTTTTGGTGCAGAAAGTCTAAAGGGACCACCGATTTCAAAGAGAAGGGTGACTCATAAAAGGTGAAGAATCTACTGGAGTAGACTAGATGGCCTTGAAGGTTTCCTTTGAGTCTCAACATTTAAGCTGCTTTGAATGAAGACTCTCCTACAAATACCAACTTACAGTCTCCTTCTCCAGCCAAGAAGCCAGCCCAGCAAGCTATGGGGTGGCAGGCAGTAGCTCCTGGGGAAAAAAAGGAAGTACACTCAAGTATGTTGTCAAGTTCTGCTTGGGGTGAACTCAGAGGGAAACGTCTCTCACTAACTTCTCCATTCATGGAGAGAACCTGGGCCATGTTTTTCACAGAAGAAGGAGCAGTGACTGGGATGCCTATTCCATTTCCTGATGGAAGGAAGACCAAGGGCTGCAGCAATCTGTTCTAGCCAGCCTCAGATCACTTGGAGGAAAGACAGTGGTCCCTAAGCTTCCATTCCCAAATTGTAGAGACTAGCTCTGCCTTCCTTATTTGTCACCTCTGCTCTCACACATAATAGAAAGTTATGAAATATCTTTCAAGTGAAAACATTAAATATGTAGAAAAGTAGCTTTCTGGAAAGCCCTTCCATTGGGGTTCTCAGACAGAGCTCTGCCACCTCACTTCTTGAAGAATTCACAGACCCTAAGCTCCATGTGTGCTCTTGTGTAGACAAAAGTGGCTGTTTTCAGACAGTGACAATATGCACCTGTCACTGTCTGAAAACTGCCCCTCCCTAGGTGATGACTAAATTGCTGCTGTGCTGTGTGGCATTATGTTAGTCACCTGGAGGGAAGTGACTTCAGAAGACACTTAGACCAGATCAGTGGTTCCCCTCCAAAGGAGATTCTTACTCTACAGAAATCTTTAAAAAGGGTATGTATTCCAGGATGATCATTGCAATGATGCTTGCAAAACCTTTTTTCATTGATAGGAGAATAGTTGATTATTGTGGTCCATCAGCACAGTGGTGCAGGTAAGAAGAATTAGATGGTTTCATCATTGAGCTGTTTTGCTAGTTTAATAAATATTAGTTAGTGCTTATTATGTGCCAGGTAATCTGATGCTGAGACCAGCAAGAGAGACCAAATAGACACATCCCTGACCCCATGGAATTTCTAGTCTGCCAGGCAGGAGAATTCGTTCTATCCATTCACTGATAACATTTATAGCATCTACTTTGTCAGGCACTGTTTTAGACCCTAGGAATACAACAGTGATAAAACCCTTAATCTGACAAAGTTTATATTAGCTGTCAGAGGGAAATGCTATATTGCTAAATAAAATAAAAAATAAAAAACATTATAGAACAGTATATATAATTGATGATTTTTTTTTTACCTTTAAAAAATCTGGAAGAATATACCCAAATTAATATGGTTACCCCACAGGGGCAAATGGTTAAGAGATAGACTCAGCCTGGCCTGTGTTGCTCAGTGGTTAAGCATCAACCTGTGAACCAGGAGGTCATGGTTCAATTCCCTATTGAAGCACATGCCTGGGTTGCAAGCTTGATCCCAATGTGGGATGTGCAGGAGGCAGCTGATCAATGATTCTCTCTCATCATTGATGTTTCTATCTTTCCCTCTCCATTCCTCTCTGAAATCAATAAACATATTTTTTAAAAAGAGAGATAAACTTGCCCTAGCTGGTTTGGCTCAGTGGAGGTAGTGTTGGCCTGTGGACTGAAGGGTTCTGGGTTCGATTCCAGCCAAGGGCACATGCCTGGGTTGTGGGCTCCATCCCAGTGGGGGCCATGTGGGAGATGGCCAGTCAATGATTCCCTCTCATCATTGGTATTTCTATCTCTCTCTCCTCTCCTTCTCCCTTCCTCTCTGAAATCAATAAAATAACAGAACAAAAACATATATATTGTATATACATATATATATATATATATATATATATATATACACACACACACACACACACACACACAGACATGTATGTGCATGTATCACATCACAAACACATCACAGGAAAGGAGGTAACAAATGCAGAGTAGAAAACTGAAATAGAGTGATGAGGAATGTTTGAAGTGACATGTTAGCAGAGATCAGAATGAAAAGGGGAAGTCTAGAAATGGTGAGCTAAAGGAATGTGGATCTAGGCTGAGACACCACCATCAAGAAGGAAGTAAAGTAGGAATGTATTTGAAAGAACCATGAGTCACTGGAACCCCATGGACAGGGGAAAGAGAGAGGAAAATCTGAGAGTTGGGCAGAGGGCAGATCACTGGGCCTTTGCATCTAGGTTAGAAGTTAGGATTTTTTTTTTCTTCTTTTTTTCTGAAAGAGCCATGGGAGGGTTGTAAGTGGGGGAGTGACATGGTCTAGTTTTATTTGCCATTTATATCTTTCTGCACAATTTTACTAGTTAAATGTTTACTGTCCTGTGTCTCTACCTGATTGTATAGTCCTGGACTTTTTCATCCTTAGTATATTTGTCAGCCTCAATGTAATAGTAAAAACTGTGGAAGAGTGGAATTAAATTAGAAAATCCTTATCACTGACCTACTGGGCATTGGCAGAGTCTCAAAAAACTAATCAAAATATTTTAATTTTATTTTTTTGATATAGAGAGAGGAAGGGTGAGAAAATAGAAGGAGACTAAGAGACAGAGAGAAAGAAACATCGATGTGAAAGAGAACACCAGTCAATTGCCTCCTGCACACACACACCTCAAGTGGGGATTAAAACTGTAATCTAGATATAGCCTGTCCTGGAACAGAACCCTCCACCTTTTGGCGCACAGGGTGATACTCCAACTAACAGAGCCACATGGGCCAGGGCTGGTCATAAAATCTATTGCCTCCCAAATAAATAAAGCATACCTATTTGTATGTGAAGCATTTCAGAATATGCCTCCTAACCTTTGGTGGTGGTTGAAGTAGGGTCAATAGTGTAAGTATATAAAGACAAAGCATAAAGGGAAAGTGAGTATCTAGGCTCACTTAACCTTTCCAAACCCCAGCTTCCTCCTCTAAGAATGGGTTACTAACAGCACCTGCCTAAGGGTGAAAGGAAAATGCACAGATTCCATGACACAGTAATTCTCCAGAAATGGTGACTATAGTATTCATGCATATTTAGGTTTAGTTTTGAGTTCACCCACAGACTTTTGTTCATCACAACAATCCTTTAAGGGAGATAGAACAAGTATATTTGGTCCCATTGAAGGAACAAGGAAATTAAGGCTTGGCTCAACTTAGTTACAGAGCTACCAGCTTCCTAAGTGGCAGAGCTGGGATCTGAACCCAAGTGAGGATGAAACTTTCTTAATGTGACCCTGAGCTGTCTCTCCCATGGACTTTTTCATCCTTAGTATATTAGGCTGGATCAGAGGTTTATTTCCACAACTCCCTGTTAGAGACTGTCTGATGACAATTGATGTTCATTCTGATATAAATGAGCACCCCTTACTTGTTTGCTTTTATGTGCTGGTCCATGGTATAGGCCCACTGTCCTGACCTGGTTAAGCATTTTAAAATTAGACTAGATTTAATTAACCAGATTTATTATTATAATATTTTTGTTATTGATTTGATTGAGAGAGAGAAACATCAGTTTGTTATTCAACTTATTTATGTATTCATTGATTGATTCTTGTATGGAACCAGCAACATTGGCTTACTGGGACGATGCTCTAACCAACTGAGTTATCTGGCCATGGCTAATTTGATGGACTTAAAATATCAAAAGTAAACTCATACAGCCCCATCAGTGTGGCTCAGTTGAGTGCTGTTTTATGAACCAAGAGGTCTCGGTTGTAATCCAAGTCAGGACACGTGCCCAGTTTATGAGCTCAATCTCCAATAGGGGGCAAGCAGCAGTCAGCCAATCAATGATTCTCTCCCATAGTTGATGTTTCTGTCTCTCTTTTTCTCTCTCTTCCTCTCTGAAATCAATTAAAATATATTTTTATAAAAGTAAACTGAAAGAAAATCAGGATTGTGTTCTTTGTGTTAAAATAAATAAAGTAAGGGTATAAAAAACAAAGGGCACAGCAAATAGATCTTAAACTGGCCATGGATGAAGGAATTATGATAATGAGCGCACCAAGCCCTTTATCCATGGAACAGGATCCATTTAGTAGACTCTACAGTGAGATTTTCCACCAGGATGGGTCTTCACATTTTTGAGTGTGGAAGAACTGCCTAGTTTCTGGTAGGACCCTCTCATTCTAATGCCATTGGGACCCATGCATGGTGATACGCTATACATGGATCCTTTTCTGGCATATTCCCCCTCCTATTTCCTTACTTACCACAGAGAGCACAACTTCCTCCTGGACAACATGAGGTTTACACAGCCTGACTAGGCTGCAAGTGTAATTCTCAAAGAAGGAGAAGATCTCTTAGTTCCTACTGAATATTTGTCTTTCTGACCCTAGAATTCTGCTTTGTGGCATCCAGTTATGATGTGTGTGTGTGTGTGTGTGTGTGTGTGTGTGTGTGTATGTGTGTGGTCCTTATGAAGTACATATAAAAAATCAAATAAATGATCTGGACACAGCCTAGGTGACCTACTATCCATAGGTTTAAGGCTTAGGGGGCATGAAGAAAAACATTGTTATTAATACTTGGACTGCCTCTTTTAATTTGTCTCTTCTTTGTATGTGTCTGCACTGAGAACTGTGTCTTCATTGCAGTCAATTAGCCATAACTGAGCTACCTCCCTGCCACTGAAATCCCTGCTGACCTGTAGGTCACTTTGCAGAAGGCAGGAGGCATGGGAGTGTAAGAGCCAGTCACGAGGGATGGAGTGTGAGGATTGACTGTTCCTTGACATGACTTCAGTTTGTCCCACAAACTAGTTCAGGCCAGAATTGAGGTTGCTTTCCACAACCCCTCCCTCCCCCGCTTTGATTGATCATAATCGATATTCATTCTGACATTAATTAGTACCCTTGCTTTGCCTCCTGCTGTGCACCAGTTCTTGGAGCAGGCCTTTGTCCTTTCCTTGACAAGCCTGTAAAATAATTTCCAATAGCTGGTAGCATTCATGAACTAGTATCTCTGATTGTCTTTCTCTCCCCCACCCCCACCTTTTCTCTATATTATTCCCTGCCAAGAAACTTGGGCATCCATTTTGTCTTACAGTCACTCAAGAAAGCTTGCATATGATTTTTTTTTTTCTAAATTGTTATTGGCCAGATTGGAGTGGCCTGCTTCTTTTGTCATCTCTCTCTGTCCCCCGCTTATGAAGGTAGACTTTCAGTTTTGGAGTTTTTCTCTGAGTCTGTGTCTATGAGCACCAGGCCTGGACCACATTCTGTTTTTGAAATATTCTCCTGACATCATTCAACAAAATGCAGTCTGAGTTGTTGCTTTCTGTAGTATGAATGATGAAACAGTGATTCACATTCTGACTTAATCCTTGTTAATAGATAACTTGGATATATAACTGAGGCTAAAGACTAACCATTGTGGCCACAGGGCAAGAAGTACCCTCTAGCCAAAACCGGTTTGGCTCAGTGGATAGAGCATCAGCCTGCTGACTGAAAGGTCCCAGGTTTGATTCCGGTCAAGGGAATGTATCTTGGTTGCAGGCACATCCCCTGTGGGGGGTGTGCAAGAGGCAGCTGATTGATGATTCTCTCTCATCGATGTTTCTAATTTTCTATCCCTCTCTCTATATATATATAAAAAATCACTAAATATATATATTTTTTTAAATTCTTAAAAAAAAGAAGTACCCTCTATTCACCAAAGGGCTAGTAGATGGTTGTTTCAGAGCTCAAGGGTAAGTGCATTAGGACCATGGGAGGACTGGTCTTTGCTCTGGTGACCCCTCACTGAGCCTGGCTCTGGTTTCCTTCCTATTTACTCCCTAATCTCTCTGAACGTCGGGAGTCAGTTTGGACTTTATGTGTGGAAAAGGAGCTGGTAAATAAGGGGCTACTTCCAAGGGCAGCTTTGCCTGTCTGTCGGAGGTATAGAGCTCTCAGCCATTCTGAGTTAACAAAGACCTGAAGCCATTTTATGTGGTCTCTCATCCATAGCAGGATAGGCACATGTGATGCATGCAGTTAGGTTACAAGGAAAAGTTGCAATCCAAACAGTCCATTTCTCTTCCCTTTAGGCCAATACCATCATGCCTCCTTGGGTAGCCTTCCCCAGACTCATACTGCTTTGAGCAGGTAAGTGGATAAGTGGGCTGGGTTTGGAAGGCCTGGGTATGGGGGAGTGTAGGATTGTGTGGGTGTGGTGGAGGAATATGGATGTGCTTGGACTCTGTTGGAAGGTAATGGGTCAACTTGTGAACAAAGAACCAGGCTGAAATAAAAAAAATTCTGAAATGATATGAATCACAAAATCTAAGGCTAAGTAGAATACTTTGTTATATGCTGCCATTTCTATTTAGGAAAAAAGGAGGTGTTGGGTGGTTGAGTATACATGGACTTCTCACATTATGTAAGAAATAGTACCAGCTTTTTCCTGGTGTTGGAGGGAATGAAAAGAAGAGATGATGCTAGGATGGAAAGAGACCCGTCTTTCATTGTACATTTTGTACATAGTTTTTAACTATGTGTAAATATTCCTTTTAAATATAAGATATGTTGTGGCCAGTATGGCTCAGTTGGTTGGGCATTTCCCCATGCACCAAAAGGATTTGGTTCAATTTCCAGTCAGGGCACATGCCCAGGGTTTCTGGCTGGATCCCAGGTAGGGGGCTTACTGGAGGCAGTTTATCACTGTCTTGCTGCCACATCAATGTTTCTATCTCTCTCTCTCCCTTCTTCTTTCTCTAAAAATCAATAAAAACATTTTAAAAAATATAAATGATATGTAGGGTATTCCAAATATATACAAACATACTTTAACAGCTAATAGCTCAATTTTGAAAATTTATTTAAATAAACACTGCCTTTATAATTATTCAGTGTGTATATACACTTTTTGGGACACCCTATATTTTAATTTGAAACATTCTATGAGCTAGAGAAAATTTTGGGAATAGACACAACCTAAATTTAAAAATAATAATCATCAGATGTGATGTGGTTATAAGGAAAAGTTCATTTAAATTATACTTCCATAGTACATTTTTAAGTTAGCATGCTTTATTTGTAATCTACAAATAATGTTAGGCAAAATTAAATATTATAGGAATCTAGAGAAAAAAATAGACTCTCACTTTATATAAAAATCAATATTTTATTCCCAGAGCATTTTGAAACTCACAGCCTACTTCTAACATGGCACTTGAGCAAGGACTGATTAGTTGAGGTATGTAAAGTACCACATAGAGAATATAGTCAATAATATTTTAATAACTACAAATGGTGTAAATAGATACTAGAATTATTGGGATGGTCACTTCATAAGAAATATAAATGTCTAATCTATTTTGTACACCTTCAACTAATATAACATTGTATATCAAATTGTAATTTAAAAATAAAAAAGCCTTAAGTAAATAAATAAGATTAGTTGGTACGTCTCAGATTTCATTTAGGACCAACCTGACTGCATTTGACAATATAGGGTTTTAAAAATATGTATAGGCCTGACTGATTTGGCTCAGTGGATAGAGCATTGCCCTGTGGACTAAAGGGTCCCAGGTTTGATTCCAGTCAAGGGCATGTACCTTGGTTGCGGGCACATACCCAGTAGGGGGTGTGCAGGAGGCAGCTGATCAATTTTTCTCTCTCATGGATGTTTCTAACTCTTTATACCTCTCCCTTTCTTTCTGTAAAAAATTAATAAAATATACTAAAAAGATATTTTTATTGATTTCAGAGAGAGGAAGGGAGTACATCAATGATTAGAGAGAATCATTGATAGGATGTCTCCTGTATGCCCCCCTACTGGGGGCTTGGGTCCTGACATGGAATTGACCCTTGACCTCCTGGTTCATAGATTGATGCTCAGCCATTGAGCCATACCAGGTGGGTGAAATATGGAGTTATTAATGCCATTACCACGGGAGAGAGTTTTTGATTTTAAGTGGCTTAATTTAGTAGTTGATTGAATGTTCTCCAATTCTCTGAGTTCACCATGGGAAGTGGGCCTCGCTTAAGTGCCAGCTGTCATTTACTCATGAGAATGATTTCTACTTGGATTTTTTTTGGACATGATCTCTCTAAAATCAATAAAAGTATATATTTTAAAACTCTTTATCATCCAATGCAGTCAAATTGGTTCTTAAATGAAATCTGATGAACAAAATAGATCTAGAAACATAGAATCATACAACTGACGGTGGGTCGGTGGGAAGAGACCAACCACAGAACTTGTATGCATATATACATAATCCATGGACACAAACAATAAGATGGTGAAGGTCTGAGGTGGGGCTGGAGGTGTCTAGAAGGCTTTAATAGGGGGAAAAAGGGGACATATGTAATACCTTCAACAATAAAGATTTAATTAAAAATGTTTTTATTGATTATTTTAGAGAGAGAAGGGAGAAGGAGAGAGAGATAGAAACATCAATGGTAAACATCAATCTGCTGCCTCTTGCAAACTCCTACTGGGCAATGGACCCTCAACCAATATAGGGTGACCTTTGGTGCATGGGACACTAACCAACTGAGCCACACCAGCCAGGACCCTAACAATAATTTAAAGAAAACATTAGCACTGCTTATTCTTTTTTTAAAAAAATATATTTTATTGATTTTGTACAGAGAGGAAGGGAGAGAGATAGAAATATCGATGAGAGAGAGTCATTGATCAGCTGCCTCTTGCACACCCCCTACTGGGGATATGCCCGCAACCATGGTACATGCCCTTGAATGGAATTGAACCCAGGACCTTTTAGTCCCCAACCCGACGCTCTATCCATTGAGCCAAACTGGTTTTGGCAGCACTGTTTATTCTTATGAGAGATAGGTAATGAGGTGACTTCATTTGGAATAGACATTTTAAAAATTACAATAAAAATTAAAACTTTTAATTGCAATAGAATTTTCAAATGCATTTCATTGAGATAGTGATTGGATTTAGGGAAGGGGAAAAGCAACATGTATACATTACTTATTTAATAATCAAATACCTGTCAAACACAGAATAAAATACATTCTCATGTACTGATAGAGTATCATTTGGCTCAAATATTTTAGAAAGAAATTTGAAAAAAATAATTCTGCTCTTTGTTCTGAGACTTTTTTAAAATAATTTTTATTTTAGAAATTTATCCTATCAAGAAACAACCCTAAATAAAGAAATAAGTTTAATAGCACTAGCCGGTTTGGCTCATTGGTGGAGTGAGGCCCAATGGCTGAAGGGTCCAAGATTCAATTCTGGTCAAGGCATTTACTTCAGATGCAGGCTTCATTCTGGACCTGGTCAGGGCTTATGTGGGAGGCAACCAGTCAAACGAGACGATGTGTCTTTCTCATTTGATGTTTCTCTGCGTTTCTTCCCATCCCTTCCACTCTCTCTAAAAATTCGTGAAAAAATATCCCAGGGAAAGGACTAACAACAACAACGAAAAGTTTAAATTATTTGTTGTTTACAACTATCAAAGAAAAAGATGTAAAGAAAAAACTGATAAAAATTTTTAGATTCAAGATTAAAGTCACATGATTACAAATGAAATAAACCATTTAAAAAATAAGTGGGCATGAATGTAAAATTAAAATATTGAGGCCTCAGACTCTATTTTCTTTTTATTTGCAGATGCTGTAGTTTCTGTGTCATATGTGACTGCAGTGGTGGATCAGTCTGTCACTCTACCCTGCATCTCTGCAACAGCTCATGAAATCTCACCCATGTGGTGGGGTCGAAGGGCATGCCCTTTAATCAACTGCACAAATGAACTCATAATGACCGATGGCTACCATGTCACCTTTGAAAAGGACAAACGTTATAGGATGAATGGAATCATTTCCAGAGGGAATTTGTCTTTAACCATAGAGAATGCAGCCCTGTCTGACACTGGCATCTATTGTTGCTGTATTGTGTTCAAAGAGTTTAATGGTTATATAAAGAACATATATTTGGAGATAAAGCCAGGTGAGTTTGTCTTCCTGTGATCACTTTATATGCATGAACTGAGGTGTTTACTGGTTGGTAGTAATATTCTCTTCCCTTAAGAAAGAGGAGGTTCCTCAATCCTGCTTTTGATAACTTTGGGGAAATAAAATTACTTACTTGTGTAGAATGAAGTGTTAAAAGAATCTAGAGTACAGAATGGAGACTAGAGGGCCTTCCCAGTCTGCAGATTATCTCTTAAAGCAGTGCTTCAAAAATACTGGTTAGCTCATGAGGAGGTATTCATGGCTCCATAGGGAGATGAGGTGAATATTTTTCTCAAACTAAAATTATTTAATGTAAACAACTGCACTTTTTCTCTGAGATGATGTCATTGAAAATTTACAAAAAAATGAACTTAACATTTTAAATCTAACATGGAGATTTTCAAATGTATAAAGTAGACAATATTGTATAAGAGATTGTCAAGTAGATACATTACCAACTTTGACACTTACCAACTCAATCTTGTGGCATGTGCATTGTGCAGGCATATACTGTATAGTCCCATCCCCACACTGTGCCCTACTTGGATTTCATGAAGCAGAACTCACATTATATCGTAATATTGCTTGTTTAAACATTAAAATGACTTTATTGAAATATAAAAACTGATGCATCCCAATAACTGTATTAGTTGCCTTTAAGATTTTCATGAAATCCAAAACTCTGGCAAATTTACATTTCTTCTCTCTTGAGATAGACATTATAATGGCTGAGTTCTTCCTTAATCTCCTTCCAGTAAAGTCTTATATTGACAGTAGAATACAATATTTGTGGCCTTAGTAAGCTGAATCTCTATCTTATTATTATTATTATTATTATTATTATTATTATTAAATTAAGAAACCTCATGCCCTAGCCAGTTTTTCTCAATGGATAGAGCATCAGCCTGCTGACTGAAGGGTCCGAGGTTTGATTCTGGCCAAGGGCACATGCTCTGGTTGTGGCCTTGATCCCCAGTGCGGGAGGCAGCCGATCAATGATTCTCTCTCATCATGGATGTTTCTCTCTCTCTCCCTCTCCCTTCCTCTCTGAAATCAATAAAGAAATATATTTATTTAAAAAAAAAAAGAAACCTTTATTTGCAATCTCTCAAATTTTGGACTAGGTTATTTCCTTTAAAAAGGCAAGCAAGAGCCCTAGCTGGTTTGGCTCAGTGAATAGAGTGTCTGAATATGGACTGAAGGGTCCCAGGTTTGATTCTGGCCAAAGGCACATGCTCAGGTTGCAGGCTTGATCACCAGGAGGGTGTAGGCAGGAGGTAGCTGATCAATGATTTTCTCTCATCATTGATGTTTCTATCTCTCCCACTTCCTCTCTGAAATCAATTAAAAATATAAAATTGTTAAAAAGACAAGTAAGATAAGGTCAGTTCAGATGGAGAAAACAGCTGACTTTGTGGAAACCAGATCTGGGAAGCAATCCAGAGAAGCCAAATAATCTGATGAGATAGAGCTCTATAGACAGATGTGTGGAGGCAGCACATGGAGAAGAGATTATGATTATGAAATTTGGAGAGTTGTGAAATTATTTTGATCTGTCTGAATTTTTAAATATATTTTTTATTGAATTTTTTACAGAGAGGAAGGGAAAGGGATAGAGAGCCAGAAACATCAATGAGAGAGACACATCAATCAGCTGCCTCCTGCACACCCCCCATTGGGGATGTGCCCACAACCAATGCACATGCCCTTGATCAGAATCGAACCCGGGACACATCAGTCCGCAGACCGACGCTCTATCCAGTGAGCCAAACTGGTTTCGGCCTATCTAAATTTTTAAATGTGACATGGAATGGAATAAGTAGGAAACTTTACAGTGCCTCCCGATCCTATGATATTTGAGCCTCCAATAGTCTTCGCTTAAGTTTTCTTTCATTTTTCACAGGCTCAGCTTACTCCTCACCTCTCTGTTAGAGCTTTTCCCTAGCTGCATCTACCCTTATATCTCCTAGCTTCTTCCTGTGGAAGATATTTTCTACTGATGAGGACATGTTTATTACTAGACCTGCCTTGGTTTCCTCTTCTTTATTATTCATTGTGCTCCTTTGATCAGATTTTTTTGCATGCTTGCTTTTTTTCTCTATATTAGGTTTTTAAATGAAGGGAAAGGATTAGACTGTATATACCTTAAAAGCTTCTGACTACAGCTTAGATCATGGTCAGCCAACATTATAGCCCAGGGCCAGATCACATTCAAAACAGGCCCACCATTTTTTTTTTTAATAGATAAGCTTTATTGGGACAGCTATATTCACTTCTTGTACCATCTGCACTGTGGCTGCTTTCACACTGACAGAGTTGAGCCATTGACACTGAGACCATAGGGACCCCAAAGCCCAACACATTTACTGTCTGACCCTTTCTAGGAAGTTTGCTGACCTCTGCTTAAGACTAATGCCTTGCATGTAATAGATATCAACATTTTTTTGAAAAAGAGTTTAGCTGTTCAAGGCACAGATGGGCTTAATTGAAACTGATTCTTTAAAAAGAACATTCAAACCAGTTTTCTACTTTCTAGGGGTTTCTTTTGTAGTTAGTAGAGTTGAGTTTGAAGGAAGCTTCTTATTTATTTATTTATTTTTTAAAGGAGCTTGGTGAGCAGGCCTTCATTGATCTGCATTTTTGCCAGGCACTGGGTTTAGGCTTAATTCTAGTGTCAGCACTCCCTGGATAGCTCTGAGACCTTCCATAAGTGGTTTTGAATCCAGCACCCTATCTGACCCTGGAAAGAGACAAAGTTACCACCTACCTGTGGTCTAGTCTACTTTCCAGCCAATATATAAGGTTTCTGTGTGATCTAGGATGCTAGTGGGTGTGAGTTAGTTCTCATTTAGAGTGTAGGTCTCTTGGGAGGGTATCCTCAAGACCGAAATAAATGCTATATATTAATATATTTTAAAAAAATAATTTTAAAATATATTTTATTGATTTTTTTAAAGAGAGGAAGAGAGAGGAATAGAGAGAAACATCAATGAGAGAGAATCATTGATTATCTGTCTCTTGCACGCCCCCTACTGGGGATGTGCCTGCAACCAAGGTACTACATGCCCTTGACTAGAATCGAACCCGGGACCTTTCAGTCCCCAGGCCCACGTTCTATCCACTGAGCCAAACCGGTTTTGGCTGTATTAATATATTTTTTAACTTTCTGGGCCTAGAAATGACTTTTTAATTTAGCCATTCACCATTGAGAGAACAAAGACAGGTCGAGGCTCACATTTTCCCTGCCTCCCTGATGTTTAATAAGACAAATCTGATATGCGTGGTTGGTCTTCTTAGAGTGCTTCAGTGTTAATACTGGGTATCCTTTCTCAACTTCGAACCTCCCAGTATATATTCTTGCAATACAGCTATCTCTGTTTTCTATGGTTTTTCTTCAAGACCTTCCCTGTAAGGATCTCATTGACCAAGGACAAGATGTAATAGTTCAGGGCAAATTAGTGCCTAATTTCTCTGGTTATGCTGATGTACAGGCCCAACACAAAGCTCTTGTTCCCTGCTGCTTGATTAATCATTGCTTTCATGTTGATTTCTAGCTCCACCTAAGGTCACCAGTGTTCCAACACCACCTAAGGTCTTCACATCTGCTTCTACAACTCCAGCACCGACATTGTACCTTAAGACAGGTAAACTGATATGTTTCTGAGGCTTGAAGCCTTCTACTAAGTGGATGAAGACCACCAAGTATGTGTTAAGGCAGGGTTACCATCTATGTTAAAGGTTTTTTCCTGGGTTCCATAGGGCCTCATGTGACTTGTGAAATCTTGTTGCATTTTACATGCATCTAACAGGTATCTGCAGAGAGAAGGGAACAATTTAAAAAAAATTAGATTCTCAAAGGGTTTAATCATCAGCCAAAACACAAAGACCTGTGATATTGGACAACGAATGATGTAGATTTGGTCCAGTTCGCAGTGGTTTGTTAATAAAATCTAGGTTATTCCAGAAAAGAAGGGAAATCTGAGTGGAATTCCTTTAGTCCTCTCTGAAGTTGGACTCTTTATGCAAGGATAACAAGCCCACCACTAGTTTTACCTATAATATTCTATTGAAATAACCATTTCTAATCATTGTGCCATCAGGTCTATGACTGCTTTCACAATGACAGAGTTGAAAAAAAGCCCCCAAGCCTTAACACTTGCCTCTGGCCATTTACAGAAGGTTTGCTGACCTGTGCTTTAGATTAATGCCTGGCATGTAATAGGCATGACAAATATTTGTTGATTTTTTTTTTTTTCACTTCATGGCAGAAATTGGCTTGATTCTAAATTAAACTGTATCTCTCCAAAGAAGAACTTTTAAACCAAAAGCTCTTCTTTGGAGAGATACAGTTTAATTTGGTCTCGTCTGCAAATGTTCTTGTTTTTCTAGTTAGTAGAGTTGAGATTCAAGGAAGCTTCTCGTGTGATGCAGAGGTGCCTGGTGAGAAAAAACTACACATTGTTGATCGGGCATTGGTTGAGTCAGGATTCAGTCTCCATTAGTTTGAATTTGGAACTGTGGTTATAACTACTAGATGGTATTTCTCCTTGGGGCCTAAAGTTATATTAGGATGTATTTGTCCTGATCTGACACCTTCACTGAAAAAGCCCTTTATATAATACCCTGTCTTTTTATGTCATACAATGACAGTTTTGCTCTGAGCATTCTTTACTTCATTTTTTGTTCTTAATGTTTGTTTTTTTTTAACATATTGATTTTTCACAGAGAGAAAGGAAGAGGGATAGAGAGCTAGAAACATCAATGACAGAGAACATTGACAAGCTGCCTCCTGCATACTCCCTACCGGGGAATGTGCCCGCAACCAATGTACATGCCCTTGACTGGAATCGAACCGGGGACCCTTCAGTCTGCAGACTGATGCTCTATCCACTGAGCCAAACCGGGTTCGGCAGCATTCTTTACTTTAGTATGTAGCATAAAAATTGAAAAAAATATGCTGATTATAAAGTAAATATCTGATTTCAGGAATTTAGTGTATATGGCTTATTTTTTCAATTCAGGCTACATGTTTCACACCTCAAGTTTCCTATAGTTAAGTGTTTAGTTGTAATACAAATAGAGAATAATTTGAAATATGTGTCAAGAAATAGGTTGGTCTCCTGTGGACTACTTCAGATTCAAGCCTTCTATTTTTAGGATTAAAAAGAAAACCTTTCGTAAAGATTTTCAAAACCTTCAAAACTTTTTGACTCCTGAGGTTGTCTGGATTCTGGAAAGCAAAAGACATGTCTTAACCTCTTAGCCAGAGAAATGTGATGGAACATTGATTTTCCTTAACTCCCATTGAGTCGTGTGTAAGCATTTGGGCTATAAGCTGAGTATGGAGGAGAGGGCATTAGGTTAAAACTCAGATTTCAGAGACTTAAATATATGTAAGAAAAATAGCTTTGTTCCAGGCAGCTGAACATACTAGGGAATCTGTTGATTTTTTTTCTTTTAAATATATATTTTTATTGATTTCAGAGATGCAGAGAGAGATAGAAATAGATAGGTAGATAGATAGATACCGTGTTTCCCCGAAAATAAGACATCCTCCGAAAATAAGACCTAGCGCATGGAAAAATAAGACATCCCCTGAAAATAAGACCTAGCACATCTTTGGGAGCAAAAATTAATATAAGACACTGTCTTATTTTGTGGGAAACAGGGTATATAAACATCAATGATGAGAGAGAATCATGAATTGGCTGCCTCTTGCATACCCCACACTGGGGATCAAGCCTACAACGGGGGTATGTACCTTAATGGGGAATGAAACAGTGACATTCTGGTTCATAGATCAATATCAACCACTGAGCCATATAGGCTGGGTGTGTTGACTTTCTCAATATTGATTTAGCTTGTATATACTTAATTTCACATAGTGTGTGCCTACAAAAGTGTGTGGATTAGTTGACTTGGTTTAGTGAACGTACATACGTTTTTTACTTTAAAGTAGATATTCAGAAGAAAAGATCTATGTGACCTCCTGGGGAATATTAGTTGATTATTAATTGAATTGAGTCTTATCTTTATCCTGCTAGTTTCCTAAGGAGTTTGAGTCTATAGAGTTGAGCTTTATATTATAGTACAGGAAGGAGGTAAGCACTGGAGCTGATTCAATGCAGAGATATTTACTTTACATCCAATCCCTGCCTGTCCCTCGTGCCTCCAGCCCATGCTAGTTTCTTAAAATTTTCATGGGAAAGTCAGATAGAAGATTATAGGAGGAGGGGAGCAAAGAAAGATTCCACAGCTTTCTTTCCCAGGCGGCTTCTGAAGATGGTGGAGGAGCAGGGCCTGGTGCTTGATGGCCGAGACCATCTCCTGCTACGCCTGGCAGCCATCGTGGCCAAGCAGGTGCTGCTGGGCCGAAAGGTGGTTGTGCACTCTGAGGGCATCAACATTTCTGGCAATTTCTACAGAAACAAGTTGAAATATCTGGCCTTCCTCCAAAAATAGATGAATACCAACCCATCCTGAGGCCCTTACCACTTCAAAGCCCCCAGCCGCATCTTTTGGTGGATAGTGTGAGGCATGTTGTCCCACAAGACCAACCGAGGCCAGGCTGCCTTGGACCACCTCAAGGTGTTTGATGGGAGCCCACCACCCTTTGACAAGAAAAGGCGAATGGTGGTTCCTGCCGCCCTCAAGGTTGTGTGTCTGAAGCCTACCCAGCAGTTTGCCTACCTTGGGCACCTGGCTCATGAGGTTGGCTGGAAGTGTCAGGCTGTGGAGAAGGCCAAGATCCATTACTGCAAGAAAAAGCAGCTCATGAGGCTATGGAAACAGGCCAAAGAGAACATGTAGAAGAAAAATTGACAAATTTACACAGGTCCTCAAGCCCCATTGACTCCTGATCTGAGCCCAATAAAATTGACTGTATTTCTCATGCTTGGCCTGGCCTGCCCTTCCTCTAACGCCGCCCTAGGATGTGGGGAACCCCAGGGGCTGTTCCGGGGCCACAGGCACCTTACCTTGGGCCTTAGAAAGCTGGGGACACAGAGGGGCCTTAGTCACTGCTATTTAAAGAAAGGCCTATTAGAAGTTTTACATGGCCTTGTCAGTTGGACATAATTTGCCTGTGACCTACTCAGAGTTTTAGGAAATGAGCAGCTGGAACAGCTAGTTCCCATTCAGCATTTATAAGCTGGAAAAACTCTTTAAACTTCCCATATGATACTAGATTGCAGCTGTTAGGATGTAGCAAATACTTGGGGGAAGGATAGACCTGGTAGGATGGAGGGATTTACAGATGCACAGACAGGACAGCAGCCACAGAGTCTCAGGCATCACACTTGCATGTTCCTGTACCTTGTGATCAGAAAATGAATAAATTAATTTTTAAAGAAAAAAAAAAGAAAGAAAGATGTCTACAAAAAGTCAAACTTGGGAAAGAAGTTAAGGTCAAGAGGCTTTTTGCAGAGAGCTAAATTGGATAGACATCATCTGATTTTCTTGTGCTGTCTTATTCTTTGTTCCTTAAGAGAGCCACATCCTGTTATAGGGTTCAGTATTAGAGGAAAACTTGAAATGGGTTCAGAAGATAAGGAAGAGTGATGTTGAAATGTGAAGATGGTGTTGGGAAAGAGGAAATAGGAAGACTGGTGAAAGGCAAAAGGAAAGCCCAGGTTTGAGAATTCTTGCCCAGCCAGTACCACTAATTTGCTCTAAGTTCTGTGGTGCTCTCAGGGCGGGAATATGAAGATTTTATAAGGAGGCAAGTGATGCATAACGGTGTGCTTGATAATTCTTAGTGAAGGTTTTTGGTGAGAAATGGAAGATGAGTCAGATAGCACAGGAAATCAGTCATACAGAATGAGTGAGCAAAATGCAACTGCAGAAGGAGCCAGGGTCACGGTCCACCAGGAGTCTGACTTAGAGGGCTGTGAATCATTATCAAGTTGAGAGACTGGGCAATGTGTCACCTTGAAGAGACTTCAAGGAGTGATATATTGTGAGGATGTATCCCATGCTGGTACATATGTGCATCTCTCTGGAAAGATGTGCGGATGGATAATTTGGTACTTGAATGTCAGAAAATCCAGATTGGGGTTATTGTGAAGATGAGAGTACAGATTAGTATAAATCCACAGGCCTTGTTTTATGAACATGAAATGTTATTTGTATGGATAAAAGCTTAATCTGATGTCTTACATAAGATGCACTTTTATAGGCATTTCAAATTTAGGGCCATCTTAAAAGTGTGAAATAATTCTTTCTATAGATAACTATCCAAAACATTATCTATATCAGATTTACTCCTGATAATAAAAGACCTAGATGCAGTGCAATGCCTCAATGTTATCCTATCTAATAAAAGAATAATATACAAAATGACCATCACTCCAACACACAAGATACTGCTTCATGTGGTCAAAGATGGCTGCCCTCATGTGGACACAATATGGCTGGCAGGGGAGGGAAGTTAGAGGTGACCAGGCCTGGAGGGGAGGGCAGTTAGCAGCAATCGGGCCAGCAGGGGAGCAGTTAGGGATTGATCAGATTGGCAGGGGAGTGGTTAGGGGTTGATCAGGCAGAGAGGCGAGCAGTTGGGTGCTCCAGTCCTGGATTGTAAGAGGGATCACAGATTGGAGAGGGTGCAGGCTGGGCTAAGGGCTAGGCTAAGGGACACCCTCCCCCTCATGCACGAATTTTGTGCACTGGGCCTCTAGTTTTGGAATAAATTTCTAAGAAAGTGTTGAAGGTAATTCCTGATTTTAAGTTTGTTGTTTATTTTTGTTGGGGCTGGAAATTTTTCTCTACAAATGGAACAGAGCTCTTTCATCCTTTATTTTTCAGAAACCACTTCATCATCTGCAGTGCAGACAACAGAAACCCAGCCTATCACACCACAGGAAACAAGTACGACCAGCTCATCATTGAACTCTTCTTGTCCAACAAGTAACTGTATTTTCTTTCCTAAAGACCTAGAGCATTCAAAATTTGAAAGTCATTGACATGTAATTAACAGCACATATTGTGACATGAGTGCTAACACTATAATCTGCTATGTGACTGAAACAAATGTCTTACCCTCTCTGAATCTGTTTTCATCATTTCTAAAATGGATGGAATATAACTGATCATGTGGAATCCTTGTGAGGATTAAAAGAGATGAAGAACTTGAGGCATAGGTATATGGGGATAAGTGATAGATACAATATCAACTATGACTATTACTTAGATGTCCAGAGTACACATAGGTGGCACTTTTAACCTGGTTCTAAGAATGGCCTTTGTGCTCCTAAAATTATAGGTAAGATTTTGTATGTAATGCATACTTTTCTCATAAAGAAGAAAAAAGGGGTCCATTTTTACAGGTTCCATGGCAAAATTGTTATGAATCATACCTTACAGGGGAGATTAATAAATGCTAGTAACATGATTTAATTCTTACAATGCCTATTGCATTTGGCCATATGTACATATTTTTTTGCCATACCTTTTATTCATTATTTCCTTTATCGCCAGAAAGCAACGTAAATATATTTCATGTTAATAGTGAAAATTCAATATATTTTTTTTATAATTCTAACCAATTTTCTTTCTGTTGAACAGATGGAAATAGCATTGTGACCCAGCCTTCAGATTGTGGTGGGAAATATAATGAAACTGTAAGCAAGTTCCTTCCTATTTTATTAGCTATATTCACTTGTATGTCTCTCTGGAAACAAGTTATATTTAAAGATTACTTCTGTAAGGCTATCCCACAGATTGATTCTTTCAGTTTAAGCGATAAAGAAAAAAAGAATTTATTTCTTAAGTAGGGGTCCTTTGATTAATTGGTAAAGTTCACATAGCTACAGGCAGACCAGCTTGTTAGTGATACCTGCTAAGTGATGTTTTACTCACACACATTCACACAACACTCACATACTACAGACTTTCTCCTGGCCAAAAATTTGAACAAAAAAGAATGAACTAATTCAAGGAGAGTGAGTTGACATAACATTCCCAGGAAGGCTTAAGTTAGCATTAGGGGAATAACATGCTTTGAGTCTCTATGGTGGTGTGGAGGTTGTTCCAAACAAATCTATTATTAAGTGAAAGTGTGCTTGCTTTGACATATACTCCCTAGTATCCCCTTTCCAGCCTGAATGCCTTCCATATAGAAATTTTGAGGCCAATGCTGAGGGTTTTTTCTACCTGATATAATAAGTTTCCCTATAGGATGACTTATTAAGATGTTAATGTGTTAAACAACTTTGTGATTGAGTAAGTGACTAGGTAAAAGAGTCAGGATTCTGATTTCAGAGATTTAACTTTGATGCAGTAAGAAGCTTAATCCTTCTCACTGATCTTCCACTTGCTTTCTGTTAAAATATCTACCTTGTGGGATCTTTTTAGTATTAGAACTAAGCTATTGAAAGAGGCCTGGCATGATGCCTGGCGTGTTTTAAGCCTATTCTAGGAGGGGGATACTTATAAACTTCACCAGGAGAGTTAAGTAAAATTTGCATTTCCACCTGATTGCATATTTTGAGTTCATTGTTAACCAGGGTTATGTCTATGAACAGCTACTTTCAGGCTTATTTCTATAGACATAGATAGAATTTTGAATTATGTTAAAAACATAAACACTATATTAAAGGCCAAATTCAATAATTCAGCACATTCAGATAGCATCAACAAGTGAACTTATATATAAACAAAAATTGTTTTTTTTTCTTTTAATATAAGAGGACATACTGTAGCTTACTGAAATTTTAAAAACCAATATGGATAATTTACATATAATAAAGATAACCCTTTGAACTGTACACTTTGAGCTTTGACAAACACATGCACCCACAATAACCTCACACAAGCATATATAAAATATTTCCACATTTCCAAATACATATTGAATTTCAAATTGTCTGAGAATTTCACGATGGTTTCAACCTCAGGAGATCATTTGGTTTTTCCCTTCATGATCTAGAAGTAGACTAGAGCTAATAAAGACGAATGTGTCTGAGTATGTTATTTTAAGAAATGTTTTCTGCCCATAATTCTAACAAGATGCTTTTTCAATCTGCTGGTATTTCCTTAGCACATGAGCTTGAAACAAAAGACACAGAGGAACACCAATAAGTTGTACATTGGACTCGGCATTGCTGCCATGATATTGCTCATCATTTTGGCTGCCATACTTACCAAAAGTAAGTCATTTGACCATTGTGCCTGAGGGAACAAAATGAGGGAACAAAGTGAGATAGCCAAACTACCTGGGTCCAAGGAGCTTCACACACCATGTACTTTTGACTTCACATAACTTTCCTGTTTCATAACTTTGTTCCTTTTGTTTCTTAAAAATATTGGCCTGAAAAGAAAAAGTGAAATTTAAGTTCTCCATAGGAGAAATAAAACACTAAGAAATAAGAGTTAGTTGGGTGGAGTTAGGATTTGGAAGGCAACAAATCACTGTACTAAGCAGATTTGTTCCCCTCAAAGGCCCATTTTTGCTCCAGTGAAGGAAAATATTGTTGAGAGTCTTACAACATTCACTTAGCTGAAGAGGCAAATGAGACATTGGAGGGAAAATAGATTTCAGGCCAAGATTAGAATAATGGGTTTCAAAAACTAGCCATGTCAGCCTCTATGAAAAACCCCCATAACTTCCCATTTAAAAAAATGAAATATGATTATTAAAAATTATATTAAAGTAAGTTTGGGCATGTGTGTGAATACACTAAACCATTAATAAAAATGAGATAGTTTTCACACAAGTGCTTTTTTTGGGTTCTACAGAGTCAAAAGGTGTTATCTGAAATTATAGGGAAGAGTGTAATATGAGTTTTGTTTTTCTCTTTTAAAAACCATTCTTCTAAATTTAATTTTTCTCTAAAATCAATGAAAAAATTCCAACATATCCTTGGGGAAGGATTAAGAAAATGAAGTAATAGCAAAAATAATATATATGTTTTAGAAATGGTCTCATGAATTCTTTGGCTGACATATTTTATTTTCTCTTCAACTCCTTCCCAATTTAGAATATTTATGTGGGAAAATAAAGGTGTTTCATAAAAAGTAAGCTTGATAGGTTTGTCTCAATGCTTTTTGATGTTCCCACTCTAATAAAAATAAAGAAAAAATACTCTCTGTTCCTCTCCCCTTTCTCCTGAACTTTCCATTTTACACCCTGGATCCTAAAAATTCTAGTTCATTGAGTTTCTTTCTTGCTGTCCACACCTTCCAGTGATATTTTTAGGTATCTATATTTCCCTGAAACTACTGCAGAAACAGCACCCTAACCCTAAACTCCCAGAGCAAGAGAAATCACAATAGAGTTTGATGAAATTAAGTTTGGATGAGTTGTTTGGTTTCTTCTTGATTTCATTCAGTGCTTAGTTTACTGAAAGCCTATTCTATTCCAAAGAGATGAACAAAACAGACACACAGAGAAGTATGTCACCAGGGTCCTTTTAGTGCTTCCAGGCAAATAGCATGGGGAGTATAGACCAAGGTAATAGGCTGTGTGAGTGAGCCTGATGGAGTAGGAGGCCACTGGCAAAGATTTGAAGGAAGACAACTCCAGGCTGTAGCAGTCCCCCATCCCCTATTGTTCCACACTCAGCAAGCTCTGCTGCTTTACATTGATTATGTGGCCTCATAGGCATTTGATGTACAATTTTGTAAATCTAATCTATTTCCCAGTTAAAGTACCCTTTAAGGGGACCTTGCTTAAAGCCCAAACTGTACTAAAAGGAGCAGGCTACTTGGGGTTGGTAGAAAGAAAAGGGGAGAGAAAGAGCATTTATGATGACACGTTTGGGGCAGCTATTTCACACTGACTCATTTTCAGCTATTAACACCTAAATTGGTTCTCACATGTATGCCTGGTTCCTTTAAGGATCTGAGTTGAATGAGACTTTACATTTCAAATAATTTCTGGGCAAGCTCAGGTAATAAAAACCATAACTATGTACAAATTATAAAATAGCAGCTAAATCAAAACTCTACACACAACCTTTTTATATACTTGGTGTGTGAGTGTATGTGTTATGAAAGTCATCTAACTCATGGCATTCACAGTTTGACCATAAAGACACTGTAATATTTTTGACACCATGATCCAGTACACTTATGTGAAACAGTATTTTACTACTTTATACTCTGCTATTTTGTATTCTCTGTATATCTAAATATAGGAAGTATTCCTATATTAAATAACCCTCTATAAAGAGCACAATCCATAATTGGAAATATACCAGCAAAACAATTTCATAGCCACCTTTGTGAATATGCATCTTGATTTAGTACTTCCATTTGATATCTGATAACTTAGATTAAAAAAATATTTTTATTGATTTCAGAAAGAAAGGGAGAGGGAGAGAGAGCAAGAAAAACACCAATCATGAGAGAAAATCAATGGGTTGCTTCCTGCATGCCCCACACTGGGGATTGGGTTGCAGCCCAGCATGTGACCTGGCCTGGAATCGAACCATGGCTGAACCACTGAGCTATGCCAGCCAGGCCTGTCTTAGATTTTTGATTTATGTATTCTAGTACATGGATCTCTTGAAGGAGAATCATCTGAAAACATCTTAGGTGTTTTTTGTTTTGTTTTGTTTTGTTTTCTAATCTTGCTTGTTAAACTTCCTCACAATTTTATATTTACAGCTCTGGAATCTCCTAGTCATTTATATGTTATGTGACTGGGGCTCTAGGGTTGCAAATAGTCAAAAGTGCTGTTCATTATTTGAATTTATCTGCTTTTCAGTTACTCATGTTATTCTTTTTGTAGCAAAGAACCTGTGACTGGAACTTCACAAAATGAAACTTCAGTGCACTACCAACCACATGGGAACCTTTGCTTTGAGAATGATCTTTACAACGTTTCTGAAGACCCAGCAGTCGTCTCTAAGACTTTAGGCCCTTGACTGCAGACTGCAATGACCAGATCTCACCATGTCAGTCCTTTTAAGCTCTAGGATGATTTTTCTGTCCATATTTCATGGCATTCCAAACTGTCTGTGATGTTGGTTAGAGTGTATTCAACTCACACTGTGTAGTCAACTTCATTGGTAATTAGTCTTAATTTTTTTATATTACAATTGGCTCAATTTTTCTGGTCATAGTAGAGCCTTCTCCTAAATATGAACTGAACACTTTAGAATTATATGTTCTGTACAGACCTTATGAATCCTGTATCCATCAAGAATTCTCATTGGGTAGACATGAAATGAACCAATACCTTGGTCACTGAAGCTGTCACGAAGGGGAATAGGACTTAAAGTTAGCAAATTCGATTTGTTACTTAAATGAATTCACTTGGAAGCATTCCATGATTGTTTGTTTGTTTTATCTGACAATCAAAACATTACATTTCTTTTTTTAAAAAATTTCTTTATTGATTAAAGTATCACATATTTGTCCTCAACCCCCATTCCAATCCCCCATCCCTTCCCACTCATGCCCCCACCTTCCCTATTGTCCTTGACCACTAGTTAGACTCATATGTATGCACACAAGTCCTTTGGTTGATCTCTCCCTTTTATCCTCACCCTCCCTTTGAGGTCCAACAATCTGACCTATGGTTCCTTATCTGTGGGACTGTTCTTGTTCATCAGTCTATGTTGTTCACCACTTCCCCTAGATAAGTGAGATCATGTCCTACTGGAAATATAAGAATAGAAAATGAGACAAATAATAATCGTTATGCTGAAAGGCATATGAATCAGTCTGTGAGTGAGTTTCTTTCTGTGAGTTTCAACAGTTCTTTTGAAACCCAATTTCAATGTTAAACAGTTCCTTATGTGTACATGTCAGCAATGATATTTCAGTTCTGGATGGTGGACAAAGGTGGTAATGCAGGTCCTAACCCCTCTGGTTTGGTCCTGGGCAACCTGCAGTGATATACCCTACAGCTGCTGACTGCTATTATGGCAAGGCGTCGTCAGTGTCTTCCATTTCTGGACTGCTTCTCTTCTGTCTTCATGGTTGGAGTAGTCCTGTCAATTCCTTTCTGTTGCCAGAATCCACATGGTCTCGGAGTTGTTTTCTGAAAATATATAAACATATTCTTGACCAAAAGTAAAAAAATGAATATTTTCTATAAACTTGACTTGGGATCCTTTTTTATTTTTTGCCCAAATGATTTTCCTCTGGCTTGTTTTGACACCATGTGTGTTTTTCATGGGTGTCTTGCTGTTAGCATTACAATTAATTTTCTAAAGTACAAATTTTCTAGATGTAATTTATTTATAGGATATTTTTCCTTACATGATATTCTTCTACTTTCCCCCTTTTTTGATTTAAATATTAGGAAGCTTTTGAAAATTTTATAATGTAGTCTTGATAGCTTTTAAATTTTAATTTTTTGCACTATAATATGACTGCTTTAGGTTCATTTTGTATTGTGAGATTTTATCATGAGATGAACTACCAATAAAAATTTTAGTTAACACTTTAGGAACATCTTTTTGTCCAGAACAGTTTTTGTCCAGTGTAATTTTTCTAGAATATTGGTTTATTTCAATTAAGCCAATTTAAATGCCTGTAAACTTGTCTACTATTTTACTGTCAAATTTATTACTCTAAAACAATCTTATTTTACCATGTAAATATTAGTGGAAAGGATTATTTGTCTTCTTGAGTAGGCCAAAACAATACACTGCTTAAATTCCTCCAAAGGTTTCAAATTATGTAGGAACACAGATTTTTATTTCCTTTACGGAAAAGAAAATCAGTGTGATTTTCCCACTAGATCTGTTTTTTCATGGCTCTGAAAATATGAGGTTTTAAGTGCTTTCCTTGGTACCAGGATGGGCTTTTAAAAGAGGAAGTTAGGATGGTGAGTGGAGCAAGTAAATAGGTAAAGAAAATCAATAGTCATGTGATTTAACACATGTATGCTACTTCAGATGGACAACCATCAGGGGTTCTGAACTAACTTTTATTTATTTATTTATTTATTTATTTATTTATTTATTTATTAAATATATTTTATTGATTTTTTACAGAGAAGAGGAGAGAGGGATAGAAAGTTAGAAACATTGATGAAAGAGAATCATCGATCAGCTGCCTCTTACACACCCCCTATTGGGGATGTGCCCGCAACCAAAGTACGTGCCCTTGACCGGAATCGAACCAGGCACCCTTCAGTCCACAGGCCGACACTCTATCCACTGAGCCAAACCAGTTTTGGCTGAACTAACTTTTAGAATGATGCAGTGCAGAAATAAATAAAAGGGCAAAAGAAAGGGGGAGATTAGAGAAAAAGGCCTCTGTAAAAAGTAAGTGTGCAAATATAATAGTGCTGTTTGAGAGAGTTACTAGTTTCAACCAGAATTCTAAATTGTCCCAAAACCACTTTGTTTACTAAAATTATTTTAGAAGGATGAATTTTTTATATTATTAATTCCAATGCTATTACGTTTCCACAAATGGATTAAAGTTTTGATTTTGCCAAGAGAGTTAAAGCCAAAAAAGGTAAGGATATTTTTAGCTACCAGAAACATTTTTTTTCCTTCATATCAGAAACATTTTGACATGAATAGTTCACAAGGCTGGGTAATAATTTCAATTTGAGTTAATTCTGAAATAACTAACACTTGATGTTCAATGCTACCAAAGTGGCCTAGGAGGGCAGGATGCTTGTTTTTGAAGGCAACATTTTTGACATGTTGCTACAGAATTGTGGACGCTTTGAATATTGAGCGGTTTGAGGGAAGTGTATGCAGTTTCTGAGCACCCAGCTTATACATAGCAAGTATGTGCTTAGTTACATACCTATGAAAATTGGGGAATAAATTAAAATAATGTTTCCTAGAACCTCCCTGTGTGTGCTAGGGATGAGGAGGTGGGGGAAGAGCTAAATGTCTTTAAAACTTTGAGATAGAAACCACTCTGGTCTGGAGTCTGCGTGCACCTCAGAGGCTCTCTGAGACCCGTCCTTTGCAACCTTGGCTGTACATTAGAATCACCTGGAAAGCGTGGCCAACTAAGCATGCCCAGACCAAGTCAATCTCAGCTGTGGGGCCAGAAAGAGCCCCCCTCCCCTGCAAGGTGATTTCAATGGTAGCTGAGGCTGAGAACCACTGACCTGGAGAGACTTGGAAGGGAAGGTGAGTGCTTGTGTTCTTCTTCTGTGTGAAGAGAGCTCTGGAAAAGCATAAAAGATTCAGACTGAGA